CCGGAACAGACAGACAGACAAAAATTGTAAAAAATGTTGTTTTGGTATATGTACCGTATTTATATTCATTTGCATGTAGTAAAAAACGGTTATTCCAATATTACAAATAGACACTCGAATTTTATTTATATGTATACATGTATAATCCTAATGCGTCATAGACAAGACATCGCAGTGCGTAATAACTTGACTGTCACAGATAAAACGAATTAAACAGCTGATTGATTACATCTGTGTACGTCAATAGCTGACTTGACGACAGTCAGCTGTTTTATAATTATACGCAAATAAAAATTAAGTAGTCACTTAACGATCCGACTAAACGCATGGGAGTGTTGATGGTATTATCGAGATACGATTGTAGATAATAAACATACTAAACACAGGATACGAGAGTAGTTAAAATGGTTTTATGATTACAGAAGCCAACAAAGGAAATAACCAATATTGTATCCTTTAAATAGGCGATAAATAAGCATTGCTCGCGCACCAGTCTGTAAACATTTATAATAATAATTAATAATGTACACAGTGTTATCAAGTCTCAAAAAGCAGATTTTGCACTATAGATACTAGACTATGGATAAACATTATTTTTTAATACATATCTTTATATATATATAACTTGCTGTACTCGCGACTTCGCGTGGAATTTTAATTTATTTTTCTACAATAAAAGTAGCCTAAGTTATCTCTTATTACATCAGCTACCGGCAAATAAAAGTCCCGTTAAAATCGGTACAGCCGTTTCAGAGATTAGCCGAAAAAAACGGGCAGACAGACAAAAATTGTAAAAAATGTTATTTTGGTGTACATACACCGTATTTATATTCATATGCATGTAGTAAAGAACTGTTATTTCAATATTACAAACAGACACTCCAATTTTATTTATATGTATACGTGTGTTTAAAAATTAATACAAATGTCGGTATATACACTGGAAATTATCTACTATTATAGTCATTTATACATACATATATAGTTATTTAGTATCTACCTACAACATTGTATTAATATATCGCGGCAACACTATAATAAAAATATCGCTTGACAATTGCATTATGAGTAATAGATTATGTTATCTGTGGTAATAGACACACTTAGACACATTTTTTTAAATACAGAAAACATTTAGACAAATATGAACAATGATACTCATGGAATTCAAATATTTATACAATGCGCGGAATCGAAACCCGCAATTCACCAATCTATACCTAGAATTGGGTACAGGAGAAAATGAGGTTCAAATAAACTTAAAAAGCATTTAGATACAACTATTTTATTAAAGACTAGCTATCCCCGCGGTTTCTCTCTCGTGAAATTTCTATGTTACTGTAAAGTGTCAATGTTAATGTAATGTTATTGTTCAATGTTAAAGGTCTCGTGAAATTTCTACGCCAATATGTTATTCTAATGTATAAGCTGTATTATTGTAAAATTTCATCAAAATCTGTTCAGTAGTTTATTGCGTGAAAGAGTAATAAACATTATCTATGCTCATAAACTTTCACGTTTAAAATATTAATAAGAATGAAAGAAAGTTTAGTTATTGTGTTGTTGTACATAAAACTTTATATTTTGTATATGCAAACCAAATAGCAGAAATTCATAATAGATTATTTCTTTACATAGTATAAAATGAAGTGGCTTTCGCTGTCTGTTCCTTTAGATCTCTTAAACTATACCACAAATTTTAATGCAGTTTTCAGCAATAGATAGAGTGATTCAAGAGGAAGGTTTATATGTATAATATAATACATGCACACTATTCCACACCCTTAAGAAGCCGTGGCAAGTAGCTAGTTTGTTGTAAAGTTTATTAAAATGCCGAAAAAAAGACAAAATAATCTTATATATAAAATTCTCGTGTCACAATGTTAGCTACCATACTCTTCCGAAACGGCTTTACCGATTTTCATGAAATTTTATATACATATTCAGTATCACTGTCTATTGTTCATACCCCTAAGTGATGTCCATCCGTAAGATATTGTTTTATTTTTTGGACAATTTTTTATATTGTTATAATTTTATAATTCATTCATTCATAATTTAAGAGCTACGCTCTTGTCGGTGGAGCTCTTGCCACTTTCCGCGATCTTCCATCATGCTCTTTAATTCTTGATACGACACGACTCCCATTTTGTCCTCAATTTGTTTGATGTAGCTATTCCTTGGTCTTCCCCTCCCCCTCTTTCCTTCTATTTTCCCCTCAATAATAATTTTCATGAAATCATCGTGCCGTATCAAGTGCCCTAACATTTTTCCTCGTTCATAATTTTATAATGTGGCATTAAAAAATATACACAACCCTAAATTTCCACCCTTCTAGCATCAACCCTAGATTTATATGGCAAAAAAACGTTTACGGGATCAACTAGTACACTATGTAATAAAATCTATTAACTGTAAGATAATATACAGTTATATAGGTATAAGTAAGTTTACCAAGATATTATACCTCAGTGCTAAATAGTAACATTAGATGTTGTAAGTACTAATTCAATTAGAACAAAAATAAGATTTGGAAGTTTTGCGAGAAGAGCGCGTAAAGTGTAAACAATTACCTTCATCATTTCAACTATTTCAATACTAATTATTATGAATCATAAATCTAAATAATAGTTTATTTATAGGTATCCCATAATAAATGTTTACATAGAATCATTACCGCAGTCCCTCAAACAACTTGTAGGTAATACGTTGATCATTCTAACAGTTCTAAGTAATGTATTATATATTGTTATTGGAATGCGCCTCCGTGGTAGCGGATATTTTTAGAACAATGATTCAATCGAAATCTCAAAATTAAAATATCTTTATTCAGGTAGGTCTATTACTCTTATGATATGTCAAATGTACCGTCAGTTCAGAATGATTTCGAGATGAGAAGAATTGAGCATAGAGTGATATAATGATGTAATGATGTGATGACACCTGTATAAATATACATCGTAAATAAACTGGTTTTTAAAAAAAATGTAATACAATTGAGTTTCTTACCAGTTCTTCTCAATTAAATCTATATATCGAACTGGACGGTAGGAAAAAAAATAAAATTATAATGTAAAAAACTTGACGTTCATAATCGGCTAAAATGTCCTACATGAATAAATGATTTTTTAATTTGAATTTGAATTTGAAAAATGAGATGCTACTGATGTAATGAGAGTCCCGCCATAATATTCAGCATCAATTTATTTTTTCGAATCTTATGCTGTTGCCGCAGCTGGCCTTTACAGCATCTCCGAATTATAGTGGGCGAGTGCAAATGGCACTCCAAACCCGCGGACTTATGGAGCGGCTGAAAACCAACTCCTGCCTGACAGATACAACTTTGGTTTGAGGCACCGTAAGGGGTTCGACCTTCGGTTCAGGCAGACCCCATTTAGAATTGGATGGGGAATCGATCGGAGCTGTCAATGATACTCTAATACTGTACGTTAGCTGGAACAAATCAGTAGTTCTACTCTAGAGTCCAATCGCAATATTTGAATATTATTTTTTTCGTCTTCTGATGCTGGAATGGTGTACCCGTCTGCGTTAACGGTATACACTGGCGGGGCACCAGTGGAGGACGATACAATGAGCTTAAAGTCAGATCAGGCCCATCGTAATAAATTCACCATAAATTTATATATTATTATATTCCATTCCATTATAATCCATAAGAAAAAAAATGGTTAGATATAGGTAATTACTAATTATTACATAAAAAAATCTTTAAGCATTGTCAACAGTGACCAAGTATATTATCTGTGAACAGTAACAGTAATGTTGAACCATAGACACGAAAGTACACTAACAGAACTACTTGATAAGTAATTAGGGCAGGTACTTATATTACTTATTGTTACTATAATAATACCTACCTACTCGGTATAGAAACTACCTGCGTGATCATAGAGCCCGCATGCTAATGTCTGTATAAATAAATGGAAAATTGACACTTGATCCCGACCCTCGTGACGTGTGTGACCTTATCCTTACCTCCGCATCTCCACAATCATTAAATAATGGAGTAGGTAATTTATCTATTAGTTGCTACTGCTATTTGAAATACTGCGCGGAACTGTAACTAGGTGTTGGGGACGGTGCAATCGACAATGGTAATAACTAGAAGCTTGCATAGGTAGGTAAGTATATAAAATTTACTCTTCCGTTTCCATTCCACAGTTTTAACTGTAACCTATTTTAAAAATGGCTGACACCGTCTATTCCAGTTGCATTCCATCCCATCATATTGTATTAGCTTTTACTTTTAACTTTTTATTTTAATATTCTCAGATTTTACTGTAATAGTAATCCAACCTCTATATCCTGTCATTTTCATTGCACAATCAGGAACAGTAATATTTAAACACATTCATGCTTTGTCACTGTACACTTGGCACAGTAACAATAAAATATCTACATGTATCGTAATGGAATCTTTTCGATTGCATCTGTGGCTATTGACTCGAAACAATAGCCACAATAGATAAAACATAATACGCTCTTTAAATTTCCTTAAATAAATAAATATATCTTCATTGAAAATTTTATATAATTTTAACGATAAATAACTATTTTTATTAAAATTTTAAAATTATGTAGAAACTATCCTTGATATTTTTGTACTATTTAGTTGATAGTTTATATTTTAGTTAAATGAAATATTGCAACCATTCATTCATTCATTCTTTCCATTGTAGCCTAAAATTTCAAAATCGGGTATCGAAAATTTAAAACTATTATTGTACTTAGTTATAATAAAAACGAAAAAGCACAAATTTGAATGTATCTCTATCAAACCCCTTCATGTCTGTCACAACATTTTCTTGTCGATTTCTTGTAATTTCATCATTTTAATTAACACTATTCAGCAATCATTTATTCTAGGGCTCAAAAGGAAATGTATCCAAAGCCGTAAAACATAGTAAATAAAATAAACTTTCATTCGTTCAAGAATGTTATTCTCGTTTGACATTTCATTTATTTTGTTGTCAGTTATCATACTTGTCATTCTTTTGCAATTCTTCCACGCTGTTGGCATAGGAGCTTTTTCTAATTAAATCATAAAATGCGAGCAATTTTATTTTATAAAATAAATGTGAAGTTTTATTCTAACATGTTTCATTATTGAATTATAATCAAACAATCATATATTTGTTTAACAACTTTAGAGATGGAAGAGGATTTATCTGAACATGTTGGTGATAATGGAGACATATTTGGACACCGGTTAAAGCAATTGACTGACGATGAGAGGAATCGTTTGGAAAGCCAAAACAACCGTTTGATCCCCGAAGCTAAAGCTGCGAAATTAGAGCGAGAAGCCAGGCGACACTGGGATATCTTCTACAAACGAAATGAAACCAAATTTTTTCGCGATCGCCATTGGACTACACGTGAGTTTCAAGAACTCATAAACTTTGATCCAGAACAGCGAATTGTATATTTAGAGCTGGGATGCGGCGTTGGAAACATGGTGTTTCCGTTAGTTGAAGAAGCTTTCTCTAATTTTTACTTTTACGCTTGTGATTTTTCACCACGTGCTGTGGAGTTCGTGAAATCAAACAAACTATACAATGAGAGTAAAATGAAAGCGTTTACAGCGGATTTGACAACGGATGATTTATTTGACAATATATCTGAAGGGAGTGTGGATATAGCTAGTTTAATTTTCGTTTTGTCGTCGATTCAACCGGCCTCGTGGGCCCAAGTGGCTCAGGTGGCGTTTCGCGCGCTCACACCGGGCGGCATTCTATTGTTCCGGGACTACGGCAGATATGACATGGCCCAGTTGCGTTTCAAACCTGGACATAAAATAGCTGACAATTTCTACATGAGACAAGATGGCACGAGGTAATTATTATTATTATTATATATAAAGCTATATTATATGCAATTCTTTTTTCTACCTGTATACTTAACAAAATAGTCTTTAATATCCAAAGTGAAGTACCCATTATCTGCAACTTCTGCACAAACTTTCATTCCTTCCGAATTGGTTTTTGGTATAAAATATAGCCTATGTCCATCCAAGTAATGCAATCTATCTTTACAAGCAATTCTACTATAATCAATCTGCCGTTAAATTAAAAATGTAACAAAGCCTCTATTAGGACCGATTATATAATACTTTTTACCCAAATTTATATTGACATCATTTAATATTACAGGAGTTACTACTTTACAGAAGAAGAGCTTGAAAAACTATTTGTAGAGGCCGGCTTTGAGATAGTTATGAACACATATGTGCAACGTCGCACTGTCAATTTCAAAGAAGGCATTGATGTGCCTCGCATCTTCGTCCAGGGAAAATATAGAAAACCAATTGCCAATGGTGAGTAATAAATAGAACTTAAATTAATTAATTTAATTACAAAAACTGTTTTAGACAAGTCAGTCAGAAAATTTATAATAAAATAGTATTTTAAATAAATTTATTCATAAAAACAATTTATTGACATATTGAATCCAAAGGGTCTTCACATATTAATTACCAAACAAATATTTTTATGTGTCTTCACACCAAATATCTTACAGTGTAGGCAGGAAGAACGAAATTCACTTAACTGACTTCTATCCTTACATAATGAAGCTTAAAATTAAATAATACAGCATATTACTTTTTATTTTACCTCAATAATATTACAGAATTATTACTGTCATGATGAAAGTGCTAACCATTGAATGTACAGTGATTTGCATGTATATTAGCTCTATCTGAACAACAATTAAACTATTTTTATATATATTTGTCAAACAAAAATAACTAATGATTTTTTATTTCAATACAGGTTAAAATCTACCTGGGAAACTGCTGGAATGAAATACATGGAACAGTTGGTATGTATATTTTGCATTATGACATATATAACTTCCACTTGGGAATATTTTCTTAATTTCACTCATTGTTTATAGCTGGCAGGAATCATTTACTTTTCTAATCTCACAAGTTTTATAAAAACCTGAAATAAAATGTTTGAGGCAAAGATTTTCACCAGAAGGCGATAGACATCAATCAATAAAATAAAAAAGGCTCCTTTTTATTGTTGGACTCTAGTCCTTAGTCTATTAGACTAGACTAGAGAATAATAGAGGTAGAGAGGTGTTGAAGTTTTTAGCTTATTAATAACTTTAAATATTTTCATATATTATTAGGAAGCAATTACACTTTACATGATGCATGATTCCATGTTATATTTATCTACCATTACAAAAAAAACATGTTATAAACAAATAACATTCTGCACTGACCCCAAATAATGGGGATAAAGGCAAGGCAAATTAATTAAGCAGTTTGAAACACAACAAGGTGCTCAATTTAATATTTAGATAATTAGGGAAAGGGTTAGCTAATTATATATGTAGTTAGTCATGTGGACTATTGTCCCTATTGCTAGCAATGTGCCATGTCAAATTGACCTCTACGCGGCTCACCGTGGAAACCATCGTCATAAATTCCTGGTCAATTAATTATGATGGCCCAACTGACATTTTCTCATGCTCATCTTATTGTCCTCCACTGGTGCCCCGCTTGTGTAAACCCTTAGCACAGATGGATGCACTATTCCATTATCATCCAATAAAAAAAATATAATTTGCAGTAAATACATTATTAAGACAAACAAATATATAGCATGTATAATATTCAAGCCAGCTATTACAATTTGTATTTTAAATTCTATAATGATGATAGCGCAGTGCAGCTGAAAACTTCCGTTGCCTCACAATAGGCAAACTAGACTAGGGACTTTATCTCATCATAGTTTACATGTGTAAGTCGATCATTCATCATTCCATTTCAATCTTAGAATAGGGATGTCTGTTGTGAGGTCTGATGCAATAATAGCTAATAAGCTGGCTGAAACGTTAAAATAAAAATTGTAGCTTTTTTATTTAAACATACCTTTATTGTTATTTACTATCTGTTTTTACAGGTAATACAAACATCAGGATGAAACTGAATAAGCAAGGTATGTTAATCTAAATTATACATTGATAATAGGTTGACCACTAGGTCTAGTGTTTTAGCACACCACTTTACTTCCCATGATTGCAGGTTCAATTTCTTGCACAGTACAAACTTTTGTATTCATGAGTATGATTGTATTTGTCTGGATGTTTTCTTCATATCTTATGTGTATATTTGCAAAAAAATAATGTACCTCAGTATCAGTTGTCTAGTTAGTATCCATCATACAAGCTGCTGCTTAGCTTGGGACTAAATGACGCTGTGTGAATTGTCTAAGGTTATTATATTGTAATAAATAATAAAGGTATGACAGTTCACACTATCTGCATTATACTGTGATATTAGTATTTTAATTTTAATTTGACGACCTCGGTGGTCTAGCGGTCTAGTCTACCGCTTTACGACCGATGGTCGCGGGTTCGATTCCTCGCACGGCACAAACATTTGTATTCATGAGTATGATTGTTTGTATCGGTCTGGGTATTTTCTATGTATAATATGTATGTATTTACGAAAAAAAAAATATATCTATGTATTTGTATCAGTTATCTAGGACCCATAACACAAGCTTTAGCTAGCTTAACTTGGGTCTGGATGGCGCTGTGTGAATTGTCCTGAGATTATTATTATTAATTTTGAAATGTATGAATAAATACTTATAAATGCATTTAGTATACTCCCATATTTACGATCTAAATTTTTATGATGATTTCATAGTTCATCTGAAGTTTTTGATGTATAACTATTTTGTCTTTCGCTCCTATCTGATATCATACGAAACTATTAGTGCAGTGACAATGTCAACTACGAAACTTCATCCTCTTTCTTTATTTTCAGGCCTACATCTAATTAGAGTTGAAAAGCGGAACAGAAGCTAAAAAGGTATTTAAACGTATAAAATAAATGTCCTACCGATATCGAATTTCGCTATCTCTGTAGGGGGCTTAGAGGATTTAGTCTAAAAACTTGCCATGTCACTAAGGTGTTAAAATTTTACTAAAAGGATTCACGTGATCCTTTGTATAAAATTGTATTTGCATAATTATATGTTGGACTACTTGATACGGCACGATGAATTTTTGAAACTAATTATTAATGGAAATATTAAGGAAAGAGGGGGAGCGGAAGACCAAGGCGCAGTTACATCAAACATATTAAAAACAATTGGAGTCGTGTCGTATCAAGGCTTAAAGAGTATGATGGAGGATCGTGGAGAGAGCTCCACCGACAAAAGCGTTGCTCTTAAGTTTAATGAATGAATAATTATATTTGCATGTTCACATAAATAAATTTCAAAGCATTGATGAGCTGGCGAAAACCGAAATCGGTCGGACACAATTGATTATTGATGTTAGAACTTTCCCCTATTTAACTTTACACTACACTAATGATGATTTTAGATAGGGACATCCGAATACATAATGATGTTATTATAACTATCCTCACTGAAACCATTTACTGCATTTATATCTCTAATATTTGTAGAAAAAAATAATATTATACGACCTCTTTTTATTTGCAGTTCAATGTCATTGAAACTACAAGGCGTTCAGAAAAGGTAAATACAATTTTTAGTCAAGTTAGCATTGATTAGAGTTACTTATATCTCCAGCGAAGTTATACCTCCCTGGTTTCATACGTATGCGATTATTGTATATGTAATGTTGAAAATATAATTTGTAACTAGCCGATTTGATTGTCGCGAGTTCGATTCCTCGCACAAGCAAGTTGCTTGGTGACCGAAATAAGAGAATGGCGTAACCACGCAGACGAATATTTTCTAAGTCTATCTCGTTTATGCATAAATTGTATTTAACCATTACAAGAAAAACGTCAAATCTATTTCTTTATGACATTAGTCTAGGTTATATTTTATTTACAATGATGATTTTAGATAGGGACATCTGACCATATAATGCTGTTAATATAACTATCGCCACTGATACATTAAAATATTACACACTTTTTTTTATTGTTACTTTAGATATTCAATCAGTTTTGTTTTCACAGGTACATTGCGAGAGCTTTACTCTACATCGCAGAAGCTATGTCGAGTTTTATCAGTCATGAGGTAACGTTATTGTTCAATTTTTATAATGTTTATTATGTACCTCTTAGGCCGCCGACAGTCGGTTAGTCGTTAGAAAATCCAAATGCACTATTTTCGTTTCATTTATTAGATTAAAATATTATGCGCCCTTAACGATTATTTCTATTTAAAATGATGACCAGACCATCAGGTCTCCCTCAACAGAGCGAACCCATACAACCATGTTGACCAACCATACACGTCTGATCACTTTATGTAAACATTCCTATACATAAATATATAAAACTTGTTTAATAACATGCTACTTATTTTGTTTTTAGGTACAATTGGCCTATTTGACCAACCCGGTTGCAGCATGAAAAGGTAATTACTATGAAATAATAAAATATTGAAATATTTACATTATGATATATTTGCAGACACTTTCTAGTCAAATAAACTGTCAATACCAAATGTAGTCCATGCCAAGAAGCAACATATATTGTTATTACTTTACTCTGTTTTCAAATGACATTGTACATAATAAGTATATTACTACATATTCGCATAAGAAAAGAACTGATCCACATAATACATCATACACGTGTCCAATTATAGCTTAAAACAGTTTGTCATAGTTGTACTTGTTTTAATTAGAAATAAGTTCCCAAAAGAATTTAAGTTTGTCATTTTAAAATTAATTATTATCTTTTATTAAATAGGTCAATTAGATTCCATGAGAATCTTTAGAACAATAAATATTCTCATTTTTTTCTCCATCATATTGTAATAAACAGACAGTCTTAAGATATAAGAAAAGTTAATTTACATGATGACTTCATAGTTCATCTGAACACATTGATGCATAACCGTTTTATGTCTTTCGCTCCTATCTGACAACAAAAAACATATACTTTCATGTAGTATCACTGTGTACAATATCTAAAGATATATATCTTTTCAGAACATCAACCAGAAATGAAGACAAGACACATGGCGCAGGTAATTTTCAAAACCAATTATTTTTAAAAAACTATTTAGTGAAAATTTAAATAGCTATGAAATAGTGTTAAGGCATGTGTTAATATATAATTGATTAGCTGTGTCCTCGTGTTCAGCGACGTAAAATTTATAGCCTATATGTTATTCTGATGTATAAGCTACATCATTGTAGTTTCATTAAAATCCATTCCGTAGTTTATGCGTGAAAGAGTAACAAGCACTTTCCCTGTTTATATTAGTAAAATATTATTTCATATATAGTATATGATAAAAAAATATTGATATAACAATGTAATACCACTATAAACCGATGAAGCTGTAAAGACCAGATGCAGTTCACTTGTGCATTAAAATAGTTAATAAAAAAAACAAGATATGATGACTAGACCATCAGGTCTCCCTCAACAGAGCGAACCCAAACAACCATGTTGACCAACCATACACGTCTGATCTTAACTATACATATAATTTTATATTAAACCTAATTTATATATATAGTTCAAAATAGTAGTATTTATTGTTACAGATAACGCGCTGGCTGATATCTGTGTGTCCTTATAATTTAGCTGTCTGAAGATATAAGGTAAATATGAACTAACTTCTATATATTCATTTATTTATCAACTTCGACTCTGTTACCATGTTTATATGATATATAAAATATCACAAGTTCTTTTTATTTGCAAGTCCTATGTATATGTTTTATGATTGATTGGCTACGGCGTGAAATAAGCGTAACAATGTCACTTTAGCTAAAGTATAAATGTAATAACATAATAAGTAATAATACGTACCTCTTAGGCTGCTGATATACAGTCGGTTAGTCGTAGTATGCCCGTATGCACTGTTTTAGTTTTGTTCTTTCGGCGCGGCAACGCATGTTTCTATTTAAAATGATGACCAGACCATCAGGTCTCCCTCAACAGAGCGAACCCAAACAACCATGTTGACCAACCATACACGTCTGACATTTTAAAGTTTCATTATTTGAATAAAAAAAAGTTAAATTTTATTGTAATCAGCATCTTATTTTTCTTTCAGCCCAGTTCCTAAATGGGTGCCATGAAGTATAATGGGTAAGTAATATTTATTTCGGAGTATTTACATAATAATATACCGTCACTGTTATACAAGATGGGGTAGTCAGAGTTATTGTGAATTGTCGACGTCGTGGTGAATGTAACAATTAATATAATGTTATTTATAGCGAGAAATATACAATCATACAATTGGGATGCCTACACTATTTAGTTAAAAAGAAAAGAGCTTATACTATACGCAGTACTTGGTAAACAAATTTACAGGAGCACATTTTGCTTGGCTATATTTTGAGTATATCTAACCTAATTATATTATTTTGTGATATAGTGGGCGATTGCAAAGATGTTTGTTATTTAATAAAAATTATGTACATACAATCTTAATGTAGATTTAGGCTGGGTTAATACATCGGATTTACAATACAATGCAACTAAATTACAATTTACCAATATGTTACTTATTATTATTATTATCTCAATAAAATTAATATTTAAATCAATGTTATGAAGCAATGAATTCTGATCATACAACGGCATGTCTGCGATCCTATAAGCGTGCTTTATAACACAGGGTACGATTTGTAAAGCAGACAGAGAGTGCTGTGGTCCAAACTGCTGATATGGTGTTTTTGTCGCCATATTAGTTATATAGACTCACTACATAAAACTCCAGATTACGCTCATAGAATTAGGTATTTAATAATAAGCCACTATTTAGTTGTGAATATCCACCAGACAGACATCGTGTCCAATCAACCTGGATGATTTCCAGTAGTAAATATTAATTATAATTATTTCTTTACAGAAATTTATGCTAATGATCCGTGACCTACATCAGGAAGCGGTGCATGGACCAGCCTGATGAGAAAATTACCATAGCAATCAGATGGTCCTCTATATAGACTATATTGTAGAATCCGATGAACAACGAACGTCTTGGTCATCAATGACTCTTTAGACTAATCCTTAAGAAATTGTTTGCATACTATTATTAGAGGTGGCAATACAAAAATTTTAATTATTAAAAACCAAAATACTCTTTTACTCGTATGTTTTATTTTTCTACCATTCCTTATCCTAAAAGGTTTTACTAGTTTACACTCTTATGATGAAGATGATATGATGGTGCTTACTGATGGTACTGTATTGAATCCAGCCTTTACAATGGCACTATTAATTACTAACAGACCACGCATTGCTGAGGCTATAGTTCTTGAATAAAATAATATTGCAATTATAAATTGAGATGCAAACTATCCTATAAGTTGGATCAAATTGTACACAAAATGCAATCGGTTCTGTAGTTTCGGACTTCATCGCGGACAAACAGCGTGACATGTAATTTTTATATATAACATCCCTGAACAATTGGAGCAACTCGCATCTAGTACCAAGCTAAACTGAGCTTGTATTACTACTGATATAAATACTTAGATACATTTTTTGTGTGTACATAGAAGAAAGCCAGACTGATACAATCATACTTATGAATACAAAATGTTTGTATCGTGCGAACAATCACACCAGCGAGCATCGGAATTAAAACGATATACTAAACCAAGGACGTAAAATGTAACAAATATTTGTAACAATAGCAAGAATTGTGATGTAATTTATCATGGTGCACATGGACAATAAAGATATTGTTATTTATGAGGTGAAAACTGAATTTTAGATTGAAATATTGAAAAATGAAAGTTTGTTATCTTTGTGAATAAACATTATACCAAAAGGCGACTGTTTTCACAACTCTTTAATTTGTCATTATTAACATTAGAACAAAGATGTTTAATAAATAATACAAGGTGCCTTAAAATGTACTTTATTTAAATTTCGTGTTACTATAAGAAGAACCTCCTCCTGGTGGTTTCCATCTGGTGGCGCCTGCCGGCTATGATCCATTCGTAATCACCGTGTTTGGAATCAAAGGTACCCTGCTGCAGCGAGATGAGTTTCAAAGTAAACCGAGGGCCGAGTTCGCGGAGCTTCGCTCGTTTGCCGTCTGATGTGAATTCATATCTAAAAATACGCAATATTTATTATTTTAGATTATCCGGATATCAGTCACCATTAATCATTTTCTGATAAAAAAATGCAATAAGTTCTGCTAACATTAATAATACAAATTCATATCTAAAATACTGACATTCCATGACACACTAACTGACCCTAACATCCTCCACTGGTGCCAGTGTAAATAAGAAAATTACATCCAAGTGTAACTAATTATGAATTTGTAGTAAATCGTGCTGTATGTATGGACTCACATGTACTATCAGAGGCAAACACTAGTTCAGTGACTGCCTCGACTCGAAACGCGATTCTCATTAATTAGTGTTAAATATATGTATAATAAACTAACCTATGATGCCTGAAGAATATATAGTCGCGTTGGTTATGAAATGTGACTGCGCGGCGTCCGCGGAACTGAGGTTCATAGTGGAACAGCGCGCCCAGCATCCGGCCCACAGTCATACCCAGACGCGTGCTAAAGTTGTTCAGGATCACCTAATGAATATTAAGAATTTAGTATAATAATTCTGATCAAATGTATAATGACATTCAAAATATTACATAAGAATTAGTAATCAATTCTGCATATTTCAGTAGAAAGAATAAACTCTCAGATTTGCTTTATGCTTGGTAAATATATAAAACGTAATTTTACATATATCAACCTTCTATAATTTCTCGAATATTTTTATTGGTGGTGAAAAATATCCAACATACATTTGAAGACATTACTATTATTATAAATGCAAATCTTTATATCTATTTGTTACCTTTTCACTACTAACCTGCTGAACGGATATTAATGAAATTTAACGTCTATTTATCATCAGGACTGAGAGAATATCTAAAAAAAGAAACCAAACCACATGGCAACAGCTGCTAGTTTTATACAAAATAATTTTCTTAAAAATACAACTTAAAAACTAAAAAAGTCAACTAATCTGAAAGTACACTCTTTTAAATATAAAGTTTTTCACAAATCAGTTTATAAATAACAGTGTTATGAAGTAACAAACATCACAACAGAATTGAGAACCTCCTTTTTGGTTAAAAAAGTCACATGTTACATATATGTACTATGACTAGCTCTAGTACTATTTACCAAGAAAAATAATGTGATAAATAGTACTAGAGGTACTGTACTAGTATTATTTAGTAGTCTTGATAGAATTGTTCATGTGACTATTTAAGATAAAGAAGTCTTTATTTCTGCACTTTTCAATACTTTTTTTTTTTTTTACATATTCATGAGACTATTTATTACATACAATTTTTAAAATATATAGAAATCTCAATGTTTACCTCAGGCCTATGAATAGTAATTTCTTTAAAATCCTTGCGTAATTCCGGTGTGATCTTGCAACTGGACAGTCTAAAATGTGCTGTGGGTCCATTGGGAAGGTGAATGAGAAGGAATCCATTTGGTTGTTTCTGATTCTCATTAACTATAATCACATCTGTTACACTCTCGCGGATGGCCGATTGCACTATTCTTTTTACTGATGACCTGTTAGTGTTACAATACAAATATTACATAACATAGATATTTACATAATTTATGTCAGAGATACACTTAAATGAGGCAACAACATTTTATTATAGAATTTATTTATTTATTAGATGGTCAAGTAACCCCATAAATATATTAATAGAATAGAAATAAAATTCATTTTAGGCACTTTTGAATAGTATATTTGAATGAATCATCATTTGTATTGCAAATTCAGCCAAGGAGTAAAAATATTTGTTTTTCCTACTTAATAAGTGATTATCCTTATACACTTACATATCAGATTGAGTTAGAAAGTACAACAACAAAGCTAAAAATTGTTAATGATATTAATAAATAATTTATTTTATTATAGATATTTTACATTTTTATAAATAATACAGTTTGTAGATATTTTCTCACCTCTGTCTATATCGGGATATAGAGTTAGGTATTATTCTAGTAAGTTCTTTGCCAAATATCCTTGTCTTAGTATGTGGGTTGTCTGAAAATGTAATTAGCACTTTGGGCTCATATGAATTTTCATAATATGTAGATAGCTCGTCAAGTTCCATATCTTTTTGTGCCTGGAAGAAAAATAATATTCTACATGTATTGTTTATTATATGCAAAGACATTATTTAAGATTTTTTAATATCAAATAAAAGACGGACAGATAATAAAAAGGATGCAGTGAATCTAAATAGTATTGTACAATGAAGATGACTGGGTTTGCTGGCAAGGTAAGTCTGCAGTCATCTCTCACATTAATTTTGTTTTTGTATATCTCCAAATGCCAGTTTTTGACCTCTGATTTCTATAAGTTATGTTAAACCACCGGCCATTAACTTGTGTTAGAACCATATAATTTTATCACCATAAAATTATATGTTCATATTGTTAATACTATCAGTAACTCCTACCTCTTCCTGTTCCTCAGCCTCCACATTTGCGAGCATAGTCTCATCTTTTTCTCGAAGAGATTCCAACGTATGCGGTACCTTCTTTGGAACATCTTCTCCTTCTTGCTTTTTCTCTAATTTACGTCTAAAATGAAAACAAATTTACAATTTTGCTTCATAAAAAATACAATACACATGGATGTTGACGTGAAATAAACATAACCAAACTTACTTCTTTTTATCTTTCCCACGTGCCATATTGGTATCTAAATGTTACTTTCTCACGTCAATGCCGATGTATTTCTTCGTAAATTTGTACTGTATTATTAAATAAACTTAAATTATAAATATTGTATTATTTTAACAAAATATATTGCAGACCACAGCACAGAGTATTTTTGTTTAGTTCACATTTCACAAATAAAATTACAAATGTGCTCTGTGGTTAAGGCACAGATTAGAGCGAGTGATATACCATTAGTATGTACTAAATTTTAAACTATTTTTTTCTTTTACTGACATAAAGAGTTGATGTATAAATGGACAATTAATATTAATTTATTAGATAGACCTACTTTCCAATGAGCGTATAATAGCACATATATAGCAGAAATGTAAACAGTGGTTTAATTTAATTCCAGAGTAAAAATGCTAGTACTCGGTGCCATTAAAAAAATATTAAGAACGAGTCCCGCCAAATTCAAAAAAAACTTTTATATTGGCTAAATGCGAAGGCAAAGCCAAAGATGGCGGAGGAGAAAAAAAAAGCACCAGAGTGCGAAAATTCATAAATTTATTATCATATTTCTATTTATTTACCAACTTTCGGTCAGGGGCTAAAACTTAATTATTTGTTTTTAAATCCTAAATATCAATAGATATAAAATGTATTGGACTCATACAACGACTAGGCTTACGGATTTATTATTGATATGTATAGAAATCACAAAAACTGCAGATCTTAGGGTAAAAATATAATTAAATATAAAAATTAGTTTAATTGTACATCTTGTCTGGCGAGTTCCAACAACATAGGGTCATCGAAGAACTTGTTGATGGAGACATCCTCGCTGAGCCCCTTCCGGCGTCTGGTCTTGATCATGAACTCGCGAGCCAAGTGTGTTGCTGGCTGCGGCTCTAACGGTCTAAAGGCAAAAAGAAATGTAAGCAATAAAATTAAATAGTATAATAAGTATCCCTACCTGAAATGAACAAGTAAATAATTATAATCGTAGTATAATGTCTAAAAATTATAGTTTAAAATTAATAAATTAAAAACTTATCGTTTTAAGAGAATGGTAATATTTATATGGTTTTCCATACAATTTTAGTCCATCGAGTTGTTATTGGCGATAGTTTCATAAAGTGAACATCTATGTTATATCAGTTACATAAAAAAGAAAAAATAAAAAATGTTTCCTTATATTAAAAACAAAAAAGAAAGATCGTGTTACTTTAATTGTGTCTGTGATTTTTTGACGATCTTTATTGTTTTTTTTTTTAAATAAACTTGGTATTAGCGACGGATCAAGTATGTCTATTTATTTATTCTTGATAGAAAGCGAGAAAAAACTGGATATTTAATAGTAGCGATATATGAATATGTTGACCTGATGATTATGCTCTTGTCAAGCGGGTCCCCGGGCACGATCTGCCAGTGGTGGAACACCTGCAGACAGAAGGCCTGGCCCTGGGTGTGCGTGCGGAGGTCTGTCTCGAAGCCGAACGAATCGATGGCTGGTACAAAAGCCTTGATTGTGTACAGCGGCGAACCGGCGACTGGCGCGTCCTGGGTCACGTGACCTGAACATAACACGAAAAACATTTTTTTTTTATAATAATTAATAAGAAATGGTGGCAGTTATTTTATAGTTCTTCGGAATGGTAACGCAAGGGCGTCACATAACTTTTTTATTTCAACCGTGTTTGTTATGCCTTAAGTGAAAATATATTAAATTGTAATAGACTGAAAAAGACACACTACATTCATAAAATTAAAATACGAAATAAAACTATTAAATAAAGCGTAATATACAAACATTCCATTGAAGGCCTGATTCTACTATACCTTCATACTAAGTTAGTTTGACATACCGTCAACTAGATGGCGCTGTACGATTTTAAAACGCGCTAACGTTTCGCTTTCTCGATAAATGTATAGGGTGTCTGTTACATTTCATCTGCAATTAATATTTACATACACTATATGTATGTACTATTAATATCATCATCATTTCAGCCTATTTTTGTAAAGCTCTCTGGTTTTTTAACTAGATAGGGCTATAATAATATTAATAAACACAGAATAATTATTGATATTGTGATTATAAAGCAACGTTTGGCGTGCTGTTTGTTATCGTCGATCTCATCAGAGAGACAGTCAGATATATAAATTAACACGAAAATATTTTTTGTCAGATTTGAACGGCGTAATTCAGGGTTGTAAATCGCTGGTCCGCCACGCTCCCGTGATATATAAATTATATAATTAAAAAATAGTACTCCGTAGGCCAGCAAGCTAGTTATATTTTTTTACATTCGTTATAGTAAGAATGTAATAGAGCGATCAATAAAAATGATAATCATATAATGCATCCAATATAACATGACCAAAACTGTATATTACAGTTCAGGCAATAGTCAATTTTTTCCCCCCTAAAGTAATATCTATTGCTTTCTTTGTAGCGATAACATTTTGACATTATATAAGCAATAGCCAATTACAAGAAATTAAGTAATCAACACAATATTATACCATAACAATACAAAATATACGTCAATACTGATGTCGAGTTGACAACTACATTTATTTATTACTAGCTGTACCCGCGACTTCGTCCGCATAGAATTTAATCAGCTTCTTGCCAATAAATTTCCCTTCAAAATCGGTCCAGCCATTTCAAAGATTAGCCGGAACAAGCAGACAGACAGACAAAAATTGTAAATGTTATTTTGATGTATGCACCATATTCATAAGCATATAGTAAAAAACGGTTATTTCAATATTACAAATACTTCACTTTTATTTATATGTATAGATTTGTAATTTCAAATAAGTTTATTATTATATTAATACTATTATTTATTTATTGATGTATTTATTTGACGTTCGTCATATATTTTAAGGCGCGCTAAAGGAGATATTTCATTTATCGAGCAACACCCAAGTATGCAATTTTCTTGCTGTTTTTGTGATGAGTCTGCGTACTGAATGAGTGATACCACTCAAATAAAAATAATATAACTATTCAAAAGTGCTTTTATTAAGTTTATTTGAATAGAGAATATTTATCTTTCTATGCATATTTTGTCTATACAAAACTATATGTTCTTTCTATACAACCATATATGATGCGTAATGGAGTTTTCTCTTCCATTTGTATGGAGGCATACCATCTTAACCTATACGAAACCAACCTAAACTAACTGAATGATATTATCAAGCAGTATGTGATAACGTAATTCCCGTAATGCTGTTCATGTATAATAATAATATCAAGACAATTCACACAGTGCCATCAAAACCCAAGTTAAGCTACTTAAAACTTGTATTATGGGTACTATATAACTGATACAAATACATAGATATATTTTTTTCATAAAAACATACATATTACACATAGAAAATACCCAGACCGACACAAACAATCATACTTACGATTACAAATGTTTGTGCCGTGCGAGAAATCGGACCCGCGACCATCGGAAGTAAGGCAGTATGTTAAACCGCTAGACTACCGGGACCGTCAAGCCATCACTACTATAGTTACATAATATAAAATATATATAGTATCTAATAATATAAGTGTATCAAGGGTGTACCTCGTCGCTTGGCCAGCACTGTGTAGACTGCCGACACGCAGTCAGCGGGCGCCTGCACCTCAACAAACAGATACGGCTCCATCAACCTCGGCGTCGCCATCAAGAACGCCGAGTATGCCACCTGGAAATAATTATTTTATATTGTATAAAACACAGATGTTTATTTATTTATTTAACTTTAATGCACAAAAACAATGTGTACAGATAACGGACTTAACAGCTTTCGGCGTTATCTACCAGTCAACTATGAGTGGTGCAGAGAAAGATTGTTGGCAGTGCACTAATTATAAATGAGAAATGACAAATATATACATATATTATTATTACATTTCTATAATATATATATATATATATATATATATATATATATATATGTTACATTTCTATAATATATAAATATATATATATATACACAAGGTATTCAAAATAGCTCACAAAATGACAATACTTTATGCACTTTTCATTTTGAATGAAATTTTAAATTACTTATTCATTTTGAATTCCATTACGGCATCGACTTATGAACAATAAATTTATTTATGCTTTTGAAATGTATCGTCCTTCTCTCTCCAGTTAATTCCTCCTTTTGAAAAAAATAACAATACACTGTAAATAAAAAAGTCTTGCAAATCTTGCCCTAAATGTGCAAGACATAAGTTTTTACAGAGCTTAATATGATACAAATAGTGTGCAACACTAATTTTAATTTAAGTTTTAATTTTGTCTATTATTTTTAATAAATTTACATGGGTTTTACAAACATTTATTGTTACTCTTATTATGGAAATTGTACAATAATATCATGATAGTTAAGATGCTGAATTAACATTTAATAAATAAATAAATTTATTTATTAAATTAATAATTTATTTATTTATTACATATTAGAATTTATTGTTATTTTGCCTTGAAATATTATTATTATAATAATAATACAAATATTTAGTGTATAATTAAAAATAAATAAAATTTAATAAATATATTTATAACATATAAATAATTACCGTGTAGATCACATCAATGATCTATATGGTTATAATGTGCACAAATTTGCAGTAAAACTGGTGTATGACTTAACTCACCCTTCTGGCAGTGGGTATGATCTGTCCGCCGCCTCTATGGAGTGGCTCCTGAGCAATCACTGCGTCCAATATTTTAAACTTCACGTTTCGTATGGGCTCCTCGCACAGCGGACCTTCCCTGGTACCCCATTGGAATCCTGAAATATTGAAATACATATTTTAATTATGTAAGAAACTATATTTACGTAAAATAATTAATATATAGAAGTACTACAAAATTATGTACGGTCGCTTCTACAGGGATTACATAATAATGATGGAAATTCCTTATTTTTAAAGTTTTTTATTTAGTACACATTCACATTAGCTTAACATATTTTAATACTGTCTCAACACAATTTATTTTATTGTAAATAATGCGCTATTACGTTGACTAAGATATGTATTTACTATGAAGTTATTTCTGTTTTTATATTAATAATAATGGAATTTTGTGTCCCTAATATCATACATATATAATTTAAAAAATATAAATTTCTAGATATTCTAGAATTATATAAATTCTATTGAAATGCTCCTAAAAAAACAAAAAGCCTAAATTTTTATGAGTTCAGTCTTTCTTCTAGATTAAGGTAGACTGTAGATTTACTATATGTACCTATTTATTATTTACTTATATTTACCTATATATTTTATATACATTGTATGTACGTCATTTGTTGTTTGGTGTTTAGTTTGTCATATGTACTTATTTATTATACATATATATATATAATACACAATATTAAAGTTTAAATAAATTATTATTTAGTTAAATGATAGTTTACTGTAATAAATCGTATTAATTATCCAAGACAACCTATAATTTCCCATTACCTTGCACAATGCTGTCCTTGACGGAAGCCAGCAGATGTTTGTTGACTTCGGAGGGCAGGGTGTCGTCGACTAGAATGTTGGGGCCCATAGTGTCCGGACCAAACGCCCATATAGAACGGGCCGCGAGCAAATCCCAGTCGTATCTGTAAACATTACCATGTACAGCCCATTTGTCATCGTGCATGGATATCTTAACCTATACTTTATTTTATATGACTACTAGTGACAAACGTTGTTTTGCCATATAACATTGCTATTAAGAAGTAGGTAGAGTAATGATTTTGTATGTATTTTTAATGACGAATCAGAAAAATAACTTTAAAATACAAAAAATATAATTGGATATCGTTTTTTTTCGAGGGTTTCTATAGAGTAGACATGGTTTTAGAATAGAAAATCCTTTATTCAAATAAATTTAAGTTAAGCACTTTCGAATAGTCATAGTGATCTTTTTTTTATTTACCGCTCAATCTGAAAGCTGTGTCACAAGAAGAATGAACAAGAAACTGGCGTGTTGCTGTTTTAAATAATCACTGTAATTTTACATTTTTAAGTCGAAACCTGTGAAAACAAACCAACTAGCACTAATTTATTAGGGTCAAATATAAATACACATTAGGACTAAATCAGTTGTAGTGATTAAAGCAGACCAGTCCCTACAAGCAGCACTCGTTCACAAGTATGACGTATAGACCAGCCATCACTCGATCATATTTTAGGGAGCTCAATGAACCGGCCCACCATGCTTTGGTGTTTTTCAAGAAGTGTATATTAACGTTTCTTAAGAGTCAACAACGTGCATGTAACACCTCTGATGTCTGAGTAGTCCATAGGCTACGGTAACCATTTACCATCAGATGTTTGCCACCATTGTAATATGACGATTTCGGTGGTCTAGCGGTCTAGCACCGCTTTACGACCGACGGTCGCGGGTTCGATTCCTCGCACGGCACAAACATTGTATTCATGAGTATGATTGTTTGTATCGGTCTGGGTGTTTTATTGTTCTGTTGTTGTCTATGTATTATATTATATTTACAAACAAAAATATCCATGTATATGTAACAGTTACCTAGTACCCATAACACAAGCTTTAGCTAGCTTAACTTGGGTCTAGATGGAGCTGTGTGAATTGTCCTGAGATTATTATTATTATAATATATAAAAAAAGCACTGACTTGGTCTGGAAGAACTCCCCGAGCCGCTTCCGGTCCCACGTGACGCAGACGGCGCCCGCCTCGATGTCCTCGGCCAGCCCGCGCTCCAGGGGCTCCGCGATCATCGTCAGCTTGTTCCGCTTGTTGGGCGTCTCCGCGAAGCACTTCAGCGAGGACGTCTCCACCACCGTCTCGCAGAACGACACCACCGGGTCCGCCACTGGAATTCATTCAATCACCATTCGTTTATTATATTATTATATTATGTGCCGGCGGTTTCGTATGAACTTTATATAATATGTGTAATTCCGATGTATAAACTATATTATTGTAGTTTCATTAAAACCCATTCAATAATTTTAGCGTAACAGAGTAAAAAACAAACATCCATCCACTTTCACACACTTCCGCGTTCATAATATTAGTCAAATTTATTTTATACTAGCTGTGTCCTCGGTTTCACCCGTATGAACTTTATATAATATATGTTATTCTGATGTATAAGCTATATTATTGTAGTTTCATTAAAACCCATTCAATAATTTTAGCGTGACAGAGTAACAAACAAACATCCATCCACTTCCGCGTTTATAATATTAGAAGATTGTTTTATATTTTGTATAGTAATACACAAAATATAAAATAACTCACCACTACCTATTATTGTAGTTTCATTAACGCGCATTCAATCATTTTGTTCCAGGCGTCCATAACAAACATCCACCGTTTACCATCAGATAGGCCGTAAGGTTGTTTGCCAATATAGTATATACTTTTGTATATATTTCTGCAGTTACTATTTATACATTTGTTATTTTATTATTATTATTTTATATATATGTAGGTATATGTATTTATATAATATTCTTAAATATTTATTTAATATTCTAGTTGTTATATATTATAGTTATATAATGTAAAATTTGCTTCTTTTTAGGCTTTGTTGTTATTGTCATGTATATATATAGTATATAGTCCACCACTACGCACAATTCCTTTCAGTCATTCAAAGGTTGACTGGAAGATAATATACATTTGGGATATATTCCTGCATTGTACATCTTATATACATATATATTTTATTTTTTTTTTATATATATATAGGTATCTTTTATATATTATTTAAATATTTATTTAATATAAAGTGTTATATTAACAAATATAACTTTTTCTTTTTCCTTTGTTGTTATTGAAATTTATATATATACTTTACCAACAAGCTGTTACATTCATTCAAAGCTACTTCGTGCACATTGACCTTTTATATATATAAATATATATTTATATATATATTTTTTTTTTTAAAATTAAAGTAGCCGAAGTTACTCCTTATATCATAAGCTATGTCAAAGTGGATATCCCGTCAAAATCAGTCCAACCGTTTCAGAGATAGCAAAAACAGACCTGAGAATTAGTGGTTCATTCGTTTAGCATACTTCGTTACTTCCCATGGTCACGGGTTCGATTCCTCGCACTGTACAAACATTTCTATTCATGAATATTATTGTTTGCAGACAGTATTTTTTTTTTATTAATTATTTGATGTAAGTATGTACCATACAATCATACGCAGTTAGTGAAAAAGTGTTAATTTTAAAGTACAAACGGACACTTCATTATATATATATGTACCTTTTATGTCAATTTCCGAGTACATATTCCTGAGGTCGTGCATGACGCAGTCGAGGTACAGTTCGCCGGTCCCGAGTATGACGTGCTCGCCGCTCTCTTCCACGCGTGTCGACAACAGCGGGTATGATTTGTTCACCTGCAATCAACCAATAGTATTGTTTAATGGAACGCAGCCTAATGTATAAAAAAAACTTATTTTTATCTGTGCTTAAATTACTACTATTGTGGCAAACAAGCATACGGCCCATCTGATGGTAAATGGCTACCGTAGCCTATGGACGCTTGAGACACCAGGGATATCAAATTATAGTAGAACACAAGTTACAGTTTAAAAAAATGTCCGATGTTATAATTATAATTTCTCTGAGTGCTATAAAACTCGTTGCATTTATTTCAAAATGTTCTGTCCTTTACAATATATTCTGTCTTTTAATCTAGCAGTTTAGCATACCGCCCTATTTCCGATGGTCGTGGATTCGATTCTGAAGTACATATTGATGATACTAATATAATTTGTATTCATGAATCTGTTTGTATTGTTTATATTATTATTATGATTAAATTTCAAAATATATGTATATATATCAGTTGTCCAGTAACCATAACACAAGCTCTGCTTAGCTTGGGACTAGATGGCGCTGTGTAAATTGTCCTGAGATATTATTATTATTTCCTCTCGATCAAAAACTTCTAAGATGGTTAAGAAAATTGTATTATGAAGATCTTAGAAGTTTTGTACCGGGTGGAAATTTGTTGACTAGTTCCTAGTTTGCGGGCGAGAATTGCTTTTAACAATTAAAGTGTTTTGAATAGCAACAATGGCGACCGCGGAATGGAAAACGGAAAGTGGAAAGGCCTCTGACAAGGTGGACTGACGATCTGGTCAAGATCGCTGGAAAGCGTTGCGAGCTGCACAGGAGATTTTTGGGGAAAGTCTTTGTTCAGCAGTGGACGTCTTCCGGACTGAAATGATGATGATGAATAGCAAGAACCGCACCTTTCTTAGCCCGTCCAACATTTTCGGCAGCTCCGACGGATTGACTGGCTCCACGGCGATCTTCACCACCGCTTGCGTGTTGAACCTCAGCGGCTTGAACGTATGCAGCTCCTCTGTTTCGTCGGCTGACACCAGGGTGCAGGTTTTCACTATAGGCTGGTCAACGCCCTCTATCAGTGCCCAGCATCCAGCCGGTACGCGGTTCAGTTCCACCTGTAAACCATTTAGTAGTATATATACTCTGTCACCATCTTTTAGTCGTACTTCGACCTAGAGTATAGAGGATAGAGTTTTTTTTTATTGATGTTTATGTAATGATGCACCTGCCTGCGCTAACGCCATACGCGGGCGGGGCACCAGTGAAGGATGATAAGATGAGCATGACTTCAGGTCAGTTCGTTTTCTCGCACGAAACAAACATTTGTATTCATGACTATGATTGTCTGTGAGTTTTCTATGTATATAAAAAAAAAGTTCTAAGTATTTATATCAGTTGTTTAGTACCCGTAACACAAGCTCTACTTAGCTTAGGATTAGATGACACTGTGTGAATTGTCCATAATAAAAAAAAACATACCGTTTATACCATCATTGTTAATATTAAATAGATAATTGAGAAAAACAAAAACAAATAGAAGCTGATATGAATATATTTAATAAATCTATCATGTTAGATAGATTTATTAAATATATTTATTTATAACAAAAAAAAGACATTAGGTCTTTCTCTGTATATTATGTATGTGTTTACAAAACAAAATGTATTTATGTCAGTTGTCTCGTAACACAGTTTTGCTCATCTTGGAAACAAACGCTATGTGAATGTTACACATGTTGGTTATTATTACACAGTTTCCTCACCTTGTACCTGGCCTCATAGACCCACAGGCGGCCGACGTTCATGACCCTCGAGTCCTCCTCGTCTTGACTGCTGTAGTTCTCGCCCAGCACGCGCACAGTCTGCCCGGCGTACAGCGTGCCAGACATTATACGGGCCAATACCTGCAAAATAGGAGTAAAAAAAGTGAAATTACAGGATAAGCGACGTGAGATCAGTCCTCCAGAATGCCAACGCATTAGTATCTCGGGAGTCACATGATAACGTGATGTCCGTAATGCTATTCATATATGTAATTTTTTTTTCAAATTCAAATTCCTGATTTTCGAAGTCCGGTAGCATATTATGTATGCAAGTATTTACGAAAAAAAATCTAGGTATTTGTATTTCATGTCTAAGAATACACCTCCGACAATTATCTATTTTTTCTACACGATAAAATGAAAAGGCACCCTCGGCTATAATACAACCTGATTTACCTAGACTAGCATAACTGGCAAGGACTGGATTAACAGATTGATAGTTGCCGGCAGTGTTCATCTACCGTCATTTGTCCGTGAGATTATTTATTATATTATATTATTATAAATAATGTGTACTAAACGCGAAAGTTTTTAAAATAAATACTAAAATTTACGAAAAGTACGGTGTTTTTACCAAGAAGAAGGTGCAATCGTCGGTGGGGTACATCTTGGTGGTGTGCGCGACTAGTCGTCCGGACTGGTCGCAGGCGAGCATGTCGTCCCGCAGTGCGCCGGTCACGCCTCGGTACGCGTGCGCCACCTTCCGCGGCGCCGCGTCCAGCGGGGACGGCACGTGACGTACTGCCATTTCCACGAAGCCGCTACCACGAAACTCACAAAGTTAGGCAGTTATCGCTCGAGAGTTAGAAGGCTTTGCGTTGAGAATTCATCGCTACAAAGACGATGCAAGTACTGTGGATGGCCATGGGTTAAATCAGGCACTATACAAACATTTGCATGTAACTGGTGTTTTCTGGTGTATATAAAATATATTCTTAAGTATTTCTATTACCCAAAATACAAACTAGGTTCTGTTTAAGCCTACATGACGTTGCATGGTAAGTTGTTAAGTTTTATTTACTTATCTGTAGGCGTGTGCTTTTACATAGAATCATCGACTACAGTTAGTTAGAATCAGTTCCGTGTCTTCATAGGACATAGTCATTCACCACATTGACACGATCTCTTTTAGTTTTTTAGTAGGAAGATCTTTAATCTCCAAATGAAAGTTGTACTTTTCTAAAAAACTACTATGAAGTTTCCTAATACAGTACATGCAAAAATTACTATTCAAAAGTTAATCACTTTGGAATAGGAATTTATCAAAAGTGCCGATAGGAAATCTCACTCAATAAATTCCTATCTAATATAAGACAATAGAGTAAATCTAAACATCAGCCATTAAATAGTACAAGTACATAATGCTATACTTCACATTCTGAAAATTAATTAAAATTTCTATAAAACGAGACAATAGAAAGCATCACTTCGTAGAGGTATCTCACCAGAAATCTCCAAAGAATCTGCTGCACACGAGCCGCAACAAGGGGCGCACGTTCAGCTTGGACTCCTGCTTGGTGAGTTTGATGCCCAACTCGGCGAGCACTGCTGGCAACGTATCATCCACGTCACCCACCACCTGACATCAGAGAAAATTTATATAAACTATATTTGGTGATGCAATGTATTTATAATAATACATCAGACACTACGATATTTCACGTCATATACTAAAGGCATAGATTACAAGTGTTCTCGGATAATACCTGCGCGAATATCTTATACAGCGGCTCCAGTATGAACTCGACGAAGCTTCGCTGCGCAGAAGCGTGCGGCTGCTTCTTTGTGAAGCGTCGTGTTTTCGCGTTGAAATAGACATCGCCCCACAGCCAGGCCGCCATGTCGCGCGCCCGCAGCGCCGGCGACTGCTGCGCTGCTGCGTACATCGCCGCGAACGACTCCAGCGTGAAGCAGACGTCGTACAGCGACGATGCGAAGCACACGTTACCTGCACACACATATTTATTTAATTATACTGACTGACAATATCCTTGGTGTAACATCCCACAGTGGTGAACCTATACTATATCATTAATCCATACACAAAACAACCATTCCACATCCACCACATTGTTGCACTGCTCTAAGAACCAATCAGTCTCTCTGTGTTGGCTCATAGAGCAGTAAGTCTATGAGAAGTATTTCACAAGCTACTATCACAATTTTAGTTAAGCAGTTCTGTATAAATATATATATCTATAGTATTTCCTTTCATATACTGATGTCATTTTTATACCAGATGAAAATTGTATAGTCTTCTGCATGACTGCCTATCTCACCTATCACTACAACAAAATAGAGGTACAGTACAGACAAATATATAACTTATTACTCACCCAACAGTGGCGAGAATACAGTAGCAGGTTCATCGGGATTATCCTGCGGTTGATTGGTCTCCAACATGGAGTTCAGCTCATCAACAATGTGCCTTAACTTGTAATATGCATCTGCAGGTGGCAGCTTTAATTCTAAAATCAATCGGTCAATCTTGTTGATGCATATAGTGAGAGGGACCCTCTCTTGGACTGCGTGCCGGAGGAGACGTTCCGTGTTGAGCATGATTCCTTCTGCTGCGTCGACAAACAACACGGCACCTGGAAACAAATAATATTAACATTTTATATCCACAATCAGTATACTATAATTGGATTGGTTGGCAGATGACAATATGACACTGCAGTCCATTGAGTGTACAACTTCTTATTTAATAAGGCCCTATGGTGTAAATTTAGGAATTAAGAACTGGTGTTCTTTATCCATCTCCAGTATGTGTTCCTGACTTTTAGTCAGGAACACATACTGTACAGTTGGAGACTGTCTAGGTCTGTAACTGTCTACGACTGACTCTACTTGAGAGAGCTATGACATAAAAAACATGTTCTTACCATCGGATATCCTCAAAGCAGCAGTGACTTCATCACTAAAGTTGACATGTCCTGGTGTGTCCATGATGTTCAGCAGATGTGATTTGCCTTTAATGTCCTTGAGAAGTAATGTTACTGGCATAGACTTGATTGATACCCCACGCTCCTGCTCCACAAATAATGTGTCAGTGTAACGCATGGGGATGGTGGTTTCATTATTTATAGTACCAGGGTGTGTTTGACGCATCAGGCAATCAACAAATGAGGTTTTACCTGAAAAAAAAATACAATGAAATTTATAATTTTTAAATTGCTGCTACCAATGATAAGTCGCTGTGACTGTACACTAAAAATGCACATAATTTTTATTGTAGAGTAATCCCAACAAAGTTTAAAGATCTATTTAGGGGAGAAGGGGATTCTTAATTAGTTTTCCTATTTAGGGAACATGGTAGCCCTTATATTTTAAGGATAAAATTTTTTTTTGGAATATGGCTATCTGCAATCAGTATGGGTACTATAATAAGGTGAGTTGTTGGTGGTTGGCATGGGAAGATTTTTATCCTTTCAAAGGGTCCACATATTTCAGCTAGCTGGAAATCTTTCATATCCTATAAATTATTGTAATCATATAAAAAAGTATATTATTCTAGGATATTACAATATAGTTTTGTACTAATATACTGGATATATGGTAGAAAAATTTCAATATTGCCATCATTAGTCTATTACATTTTTTATTATTACTACTAACCATTGTGTAAATGACCCATCAAGGTGATGTTCCTCATCAGGTTGGTGTTGTCAAGCATATCAGCCAAATATTCCATGTCATATTTAGTCTCAGGCAGCTGTTGCTCTTGCACTTGAAACTTCTTGTGTTTCACTGGTTCTATAAGGGGCTTGTCCAGGGCCTGTGTATCTTCCTCCTGAACTACAGTCTCCACATCCGGCCCATATACTTCAACTGCTTGAGGGTAGTATCTTAAACATTCATAATTAATTCAATTTATTTTTTTATTATATACTGAATATACCCCCTGGCTTTGTGCAGGTGTACATGTATTAGAGATATAAACCTTCATCTTGAAAAATCTATCTAAAAACCTGCATTAAAATCTGTAGCGATGTTTAAAAGATCTAAGCAAACAGAGAGTGGAATCTACTTGATTTTATACTATGTAAAAATTTTGCTCAATACTGTGATATTAAACATAAAAAGTACAAAAAACAATGTAAGCTACTTTTTACTTGAAATGATTAATAAACGGTGGAAAATTTTAAATAATATTCAGTTACATATATTCCTGATACAAAAAAAATTAAAGGTTATGATTTTTAATATTTATTATTACAAGAATATTAAAGCAATACCTTTTATCCTCATGTAGTACGACAGACATGGGCGCCGTCTCGGGCTCGGCATCAGCGTCCTCGTCTTCTTCCATAGCATCTTCATCCGCGTCCCGGTTATCTTGTCCATACACACTTTGTTCATCATCTGAATCTGAATCCAAATCTGGACCAATATAATTACCGAATTCGTCATATAAATCACTGTCCATATTTTAAAATTATACTACAAGAATTAATAAATCGAATCAAAACAAACAAATGCCGATTTCAAGTTTATCCTTTTTTGACAGATAACCTCAAAATAATCATATAGGTTTTATCTGTGACATTTAAGCAAAGACGATTTATGTATACATCTATACTAAAATTTATCGAACCGCGATAAATTAATTATATATAATGTTTAACCACTCGCTTATTAATGCTTCTATAGAAATGACTATAGATCTTGGTTTAAAATCGCACAAATTATATTTTCTTATAACTCATAAAATTACTACTATTTATTTTGATAGCTCAAAAATAACATCTATTAGGTACTAATAACTCTGTATTTAGAATGTCTATATATTTATAAAATTATATAATGTCATAGGAGAAGAAAAGATATCTATATCATAATGTTGATTATAGGCTGTTATTAATTTATGAATCGCTATTGTAAATTTCAGTCTGCAAGAACGCGACAAAACAAATATAATATTTGAAGGTTGTCAGCTTGACCGTCTGACAAAATCTTTTCAACACAAAAATGGCGGCTGCTCAGCAAAATTTATCAAAAATGGTATCGGCCCAATTGCGCACTAAAGCAACAGAGTTCTTAAACTCTAGAAAACATGCCAACAATCTTGCTGATATTCTACAAATGTTTGAGGTAAGTTTATACTGTCCTATGTATTAATAATTAATATTTATAATTTGTCTTAGGTTACATTGCTTAGCACTCAACAATTTTCATGTAATTTCAGGCCGAAACGGAGAACTATACACCCCTACTGCTTACAATTGAAGTAATATTTACTGAGTTATTAAAACGGGGCGATCTGATACAGGAAGTGGTGCCACTGAAGCTTATAGGTGAGTTTATTATACAAGCGGTTTGTTGCTATGTGTATAGGTTTACTGTTAAAATTATTGATTTTGCACGTTTGTTCATGTCACCTAAAGTATTTTCGACTTCGTTATTACAAAAGACTCCGATGTTGATAACTTTTATGTATGTATTGTCCTTGCCCTATGTTTTAAGGAATTGGTCACATTTGGCGACATGTGACGTATTTTACTTATATAAAAGGTTGGACAATGGCGAACCTACACTTAGCTTGTGTAATTCATTTTGTTACCGAACAGCGTCGTACATAGGAGTTTTATTTAGATAGAAAAAAAAATTAATAACCATAACTTGACCATAAACAGAGAGTGTAGCCAGACTGTTTGATGAACCAATAGGAAATCTGATTTGGATGTCTATATAATTTATTGTACATCTATACAGACATTGAGTATCCTTGAATTTGGATATTATTTAATAAAATACATAAATACTTACAGATATTGAGTGTACATTAACAGCTTATACTACAGCGGTTTAGCACACCACCTTACTTCCGATGGTCACAAATTCGATCCTTGCACGGTACAAACTTATGTTTCATGAGTATGATTGCTTGTATCAGTCTGGGTGTTTTCTATGTATATTATGTATGTATTTACAAAAACAATTATTTAAGTAGATATTTATATCAGATGTCTAACCATACCCGAAGCTCTGCTTAGCTTGGGACTAGATGGCTCTGTCTGGTATGTTCAGAGGTTATTACATTATAATATCACATTTGTTGGAAATACAGCACTGATTGACAGTTATGAATCACTCAGTGTCTTAAATAAAATTATGATTAAGTTAAATTGCTAGATAGTCAAGAAAACCTGTAAACAACACCACTGTGGCTCTTTAACCAGGGTATTGGTTGACAAAATGACCAACTTCATTTGGTGGAAGCCATTCAAATTAAAAGAAGAAAAAATCAACTGCTATTTTATTGGTTTTTGTTATATTATAAAATGTTTTATTGTAGATTTTATTTAAAAACTTTTATTATTTATTTTGGTATATTATTATATATATAGATCTATTGTGCTCACCCTTATTCAAAGTTCACTATGTAGACCTGTGAATGTATGATATTTGAAGAACTGAAAGATATTCTTAGGAGCAATGTTTTTTATCCCCTCAGGATATAGTGTATACCTTTCAAAGGAAATATTTGTTTTATGCTTGAGAGGGCTGCATTTGCATGCATGCAAATATTAGCCATAGTAAGTTTTTATTGATTTTATCAACTATTTTACAGATTACAGTCCAGAAGCAGAGTACACAAGATGGCTCGTAGAATGCTATGAAACGGCCCTCACACGCACACTGGAGTGTGTGAAACGTGGACGCACCAGTTCCCGTTTACAGGCACTTGTAACTGCATGCAAGTTAATGCAGGCCGAGGGGAAACACCCACTGGAAAGTTCACCCGGTTACTTCTTCCCATCTGTAAGGCTAAAGGTGAGAGAATAAAACTTATATAGAGTTTGCTAACTTGTTATTCAAATACTTTATTAATTGAAGTATTTACTAAGATGATATTTGTATGCGTAATTGTAGAAGACAGTGAAACTTACTATTTCTTAAGACCTTTGTAACCTGTACTTCACAAATAAAGAATTTGAATTTGAAATATTTTAAATAGTTGTTCAGCCTATCAAGGTGTCCTTCAGTGCTTTCCATGTGTTTCTATCTGTTGCTGGCAATCTCTTAATGTAATAATCTCTAATCTAACCATCTTTTGTATTGTTTTCCTCTTTTTCACTTCATTTTATAGGGGTAATCCACTCAGTTATACTTTTAGTCCATTTCGTATTTCCCTGTCCCTTAGCATGGTACCTGTCCACTTCCATTTCAGCCTTTTCATTATTTGTTATCTTGTTATTAAGTTACCAACTCCACTTCAGCTTTTTAATAAAGTTACAATACAATACAAAAAGTTACAGTTAATTTTTAATAATTGTACCACTTAACTAGTGGTGCTCCTGATGTCTGATTCTACATTTGTAGATGTCTCAGGTTACAACTAGTCCTCAATGTTATTGTTTACATATATGTGAATGAAGGTACTGAGAAAATAATTTCATAAGAATTAAATAGTATTTTCATATTACCTAATTATTTTGACAGTGACTTGTCTTATTTAAATGGACTTAAAGAAAGAATGATGCATTTGTTCCAGAACATATTCACAGTACTGCTGGATGCGGATATGTCAATGACGGCGCCTATAGCCCGTTTCCAGGAATTCACAGAGTATAGGGATGTACAGCAATATGGACTTAAAGTCCTCTCCACAATTGCTTATAGAAAGTAAGATTGCTCTCTAATTTTTTTCATTAAATTTACTTAATATTGAATGTGTTTGATGCCTTAACAAATATGGACTTAAGGTCCTCTCCACAATTGCTTATAAATAGTAAGATTCTCTCTCATTTTTTTCGTTAGATTTACTCAATATTGAATTCAATGATAAAATATTGAATTGCTATACAATTAACAGTTGTATTCAAGAGTGATATTACCATTAACCCAGCAGTAAAAAAAAACATTAGCAGCTATCATAGGACCATAATATCTTCAGCCAGTTCATCAACTATTTACTAATAAAATAATATTTACTTGTCACAGATCACCTACCTCAGTATACATGCAGAACTATCTAGAATTACTAGACAAACTGTTAGCGTCAGAGATTCCCATTGAAATTAAAATCAAATTCAAGGATAGAGATGATGACGAGAAAGAAGAGAAACTGCTGTGTGGATCTGAGAGTGAGTCTACTTGTATATATACACTTGCAATCTGCATTGTGCGAAAGTTTAGATAAGATTTTGAATGATGTTAATAGAAATTAGAAGAAAGATTTATATATCTGATATTAACTTATGCAATATCTTAACATACATAAAAATATAGTGTCACAGTGTTTGTTATCATATTTATCCAAGCTTTATCTGAACTCTATTTAATGCCTGATGATGCTCAAAGGCGAAACGTGAGTCCCAATATGGATATAGACTCAATAACTTTCGGATTTATCCATTATGTTATTGAAATGGACTTTGACAAAATGAAATGGTATTTATTAGGAAGATGCTTTAACATATGATACTCCCAATTACAATTAACTTAATATAAAATGAATGAATGAATCCTTACTAATTTTATAATTGTGAAAGTAGGGTTTTATGTTACTCTTTCACGCAAACACTACTGAACCAATCATCACGAAATTTTATACACATGTTCTTGAAAGAAATGAACATAGGATACTCTTTATTTAAAATAAACAATTTTTTTTTATGGATTCAATGCTAACGAAGCCGTGGATAATATCTAGTCTAATATAAAAAACATCTAATTGGATAAAGTATAAGTGAAGTTACGATGGCGCAGACAAGGCCCCGTTCCCGTACAACCCGGGCGTGTGCCGGCGGTACGCCAACCGGTGCTGGGGCTTCGCGTGCCAGTGGCCGCTGTGTGCGGAGCCGCGCACGCAGCGCCGCGCGCTCGTGCTGCTCGTGGAGCGCCTCATGCCGCTGCTCACCAAGCCGCACCTCGCCACGGACATGCTCTGCGACAGTCTCGACGCTGGTCAGTATGCTCTTATGTTACGTTTACATTCAGCCGCTTCCCCTACCTCTGCCGGAAATTTTGCTGGGCGTCAACTGAGCGAGAGGGCTGAATGTAAAAACATGCTGCCAGTCCTTTGACTCGCGCACGAAAAACCGACAATCGAGGGAGCGTCGGGCAGTGCGAGTGGCAGCATGTTTTTACATTTTCTCACGCTATATACTACTTTTACATTGCTCACTTCCCTGCCCACTTGGGCTGAGTGTAAATAGGGCATTATGTCTTTTACTCTCGGCCATTGCTACTGATCGGAGTCCTGCTCTGCGCCAGGCTCAATTTATAGCCTATGTGTTATTTGATTAATAAACTTTAGTATTGTAAAGTTTCATTAAAATGCATTAAGTAGTTTTTGATTCGATGCGATGTCGAGGTTGTCGCACACGACGCTGTCAGTCTACTCCTATACCATCTACTCTCGGGTACTACTACTGGTCCTGTTTATATTCATGCTGAACTCATTTCATGTGATAATTCCTTACAGGGGGACCCATAAGCATGCTGGCATTGCAAGGTGTGCTTGAGCTGGTGCGGCGTCACAACATCGACTACCCCGATATGTACGACCGGCTGTACGCCATGTTCGAGCCGGAGATGTTCGCCACGCGGTACAAAAAGCGGCTACTGCACCTCGCAGACGTGTTTCTCAGTTCCACGTGAGTGTGAATAATTATTACTTGTTGGCTGAATGAGATCGCTATTTATACTAAGAGCTAAAACTGTAACAATTAGTAATAACTAATAGATTCCGCCTGATATTATTTCTAAAAGCTATTTTTATCGTACAAAAATAAACAAGTGTTACTTAGTACAAAGAATCGACATCCCTGTACTCTGGTATAGAACCGTCGTTCTTGATTAGTGGAATGGTAAGCAGTGGCGGCTGATGTTAGGGCTGTCTATTGTTGTTATTATATTTTTATATAAAAACTTTGAACTATTCTCGAAAATATTATATGGTTCAGGAAACATTGTCAAGGAAAAGCTGTTTGCGTAATAAAACATGGCATGGTCGTGTCATGTATACTCTAACACGTCTGTGTGACTGTGGGTAATCTGTACAGTCATTTGCCGGAGAGCTTGGTGGCTGCGTTCGCGAAGCGTGTGTCGCGGCTGGCGCTGGTGGCGCCGCCCGAGGACGCGGTGGGTCTGCTGCAGCTGCTGGCCAACATGCTGCAGCGGCACCCCGCACTCAAGCGCATGATCTGCACTGAGGACACACCTGCTATCAGTCAGTATTCTTGATTCTATATTAATAGTTTAATTCTATATTATGTAAGCCAGATGTAATAGTGTGTACATATACAAATAGTATCACAGTTTTTTGTGTTAATATTGAATCAAATATATAACAGCGAAGTTTCAGATTATATAGGCATGACATTTAGAGTTTTCGGAATAGCAAGTCACCGAATAGTCAACACTAGGCTTCCAAACTATATCCGAACTCTATTCAATGCCTGAGGATGCCTCGTTCAGAGGCGACACTCGTGTCGCCATATAGATGTTGACTCAATAATGGTCGGAATTTGATCGCCATTATAGAAGGTCGTAACGGTAGTCAAGTTTCTACTGAATATTTGTGGTCTCACATATGCTAATTGTAGTGGAATTGAACAAAATATAAGTCCATTAAGTAGTAGATGTTTTAAATTATTGAATTGGGCGTGTGTGACGGACAGTGTCCGGCGACCCGTACGTGATGGACGAGACGAGCCCGGAGCGAGCGCGCGCGCTGGGGTCCTCGCTGTGGGAGCTGCGAGCGCTGCGACGACACGCCGCGCCGCCCGTCGCCGCCGCCGCCGCCGGGCTCGCCGCCGCCGCCGCCGGCCGCGCGCCGCTCGCAGACCTCGCGCCGCCCGACCAGGCCGTGAGTACAGCCACCGGCACCCGGGCCACATCCTGCATCGACTGCACGCCGCGCCGCCCGTCGCCGCCGCCGCCGCCGGGCTCGCCGCACCCGCGCCGCCCGACCAGACCGTGAGTACAGCCACCGGCACCCGGGCCACCTCCTGCATCGACTGCACGCCGCGCCGCCCGTCGCCGCCGCCGCCGCCGGGCTCGCCGCCGCCGCCGCCGCCGGCCGCGCGCCGCTCGCAGACCTCGCGCCGCCCGACCAGGCCGTGAGTACAGCCACCGGCACCCGGGCCACCTCCTGCATCGACTGCACGCCGCGCCGCCCGTCGCCGCCGCCGCCGCCGGGCTCGCCGCCGCCGCCGCCGGCCGCGCGCCGCTCGCAGACCTCGCGCCGCCCGACCAGGCCGTGAGTACAGCCACCGGCACCCGGGCCACCTCCTGCATCGACTGCACGCCGCGCCGCCCGTCGCCGCCGCCGCCGCCGGGCTCGCCGCCGCCGCCGCCGGCCGCGCGCCGCTCGCAGACCTCGCGCCGCCCGACCAGGCCGTGAGTACAGCCACCGGCACCCGGGCCACCTCCTGCATCGACTGCACGCCGCGCCGCCCGTCGCCGCCGCCGCCGCCGGGCTCGCCGCCGCCGCCGCCGGCCGCGCGCCGCTCGCAGACCTCGCGCCGCCCGACCAGGCCGTGAGTACAGCCACCGGCACCCGGGCCACCTCCTGCATCGACTGCACGCCGCGCCGCCCGACCAGGCCGTGAGTACAGCCACCGGCACCCGGGGACACCTCCTGCATCGACTGCACGCCGCGCCGCCCGACCAGGTCGTGAGTACAGCCACCGGCACCCGGGGACACCTCCTGCATCGACTGCACGCCGCGCCGCCCGTCGCCGCCGCCGCCGCCGGCCGCGCGTCGCCCGACCAGGCCGTGAGTACAGCCACCGGCACCCGGGGACACCTCCTGCATCGCCACCAGTAGTCGGGGTTGCCGTCTGCATCTCCACCAGCACACACGGGTAGCACACAGGGGGTACCTTACTAACTTACCCTACCACTCACTTATGCTAATAGTGTATGTTGGCGGCAATGGAGAATGATAGCAATGAATATGACATCAAGTAAGTTATAATGTCCTGAAAAATTCATCAGGAATTAAGCACAATGGTTTCTCAGGGGAACCACATAGATGAATGTAATTTTCTTTTATTTCACTTACTTGAATAACGCTATATAATCGTAGACAAATTGACAATCCAGAATCATTAAACATTGTTATTTACATTTTCCCTTTTCTAAAATACAACATATTAATTATATATTTTTATTTTCAGCTATTTGATGCCGAATTGAAGAAACGCTTCAAAACAATAGAAATGAACTTCTCCCGGCCACTGGGTATGACGGCACAAAACGGTGAACGCCTGCTGCAGTACTGGGACCTGATGGCCTGAACGGTGTCACCCACGCCCACAGCATGAGGTCGTAATTTTTACATCTTTTATCAATTTTACTACTCTCGAGTCTACCGTTAGCAGATGCATTTTTTATTTTTATATATTGGTAACACTGTTGAAATGTCAGAATTGTAAATTATTGAATTGTTATAGTTGCGATCTCGTTTGGACTTCGGTAAAGTATTATAAAGTATTTATTTTGTCTAGAATTCTGAATACGAGAGTGTTCAGTACAGTCGCTTGAAATTTTTATTAAATACCAGTAGGTACAGACTTTTTAGATAGCGAAATTTATCCATGAATAAAACAATATGACTGAATACATGTCGAGGTTAAGCACCTATTTTACCAGCAGACGTGACAAAACCATGTCCGATTATATAGTTTTATTTTACATTAGCTATATTATTGTATAAAAAAAACTTTGTAAGATATTATTAGTTTATTAGTATAAATTACTATTAAAAATATTTTTGATGTGTGACATCTTACCTCTCGCTTTCTTGCAATCTGTAGGAATGATTTCGTGAAAAGGACAAAAGCGACAGGATACGCATATATGATTTGACCAATGAACGTTCGCGGTTGTTTAGTTGGCCAATAGCTAGCTGCCTTTACACAACACTGAAAGAACGTGAGTTTTATTTCACTGATTTTTTTCCAAAAATAATGAATCTTAACATTTATAAATTCTTAAATTATGAATAACTTTATAATAATTTGTTTGTTCCATAGTTAGATATGCGACATTTTGCAATGATAATTAATTATTACGAAAGCTAAAGCACGCACAATTGAAGGATGCCGGAACGCTCTCACTCTCGTTCTCTGTCTACATTTTATATGAACACTCTTTCCCGTGTGAAAAAGTGTACCTGTAAACGCAGTTATTAAATTAGTACTAATCCGTTATACGAGAATTTGTTATGCAAATGTCAGATAAATTCAGATGTTACACAGTTACAAGACTTACACTGTAAGACTCGCTCGTTTTTAATAGTCTAGTGGTATGATAGGTGCTTGCTGGAACATTATAAATAAATGTATAGGGACCCTTTACATATAAGAACAAAAGAACAAGGTTATATACCACCATTTTAATACGTGGATAGTCGACATTGGCGTGTGGCCATCAAAATTGCATGATCGACAACCATTGATCATACGATTCTGATTTATTGTGATATGAGAACGGGGCGCTCGTCGTCTGTTTTCACTTATATTTCTCGACGCTAATGTTTTTTTGTTATTTTGCCGCATATGCGCAAGCATAGCGCGTCTATCCCAAGTATTTCTATACCAGTTATATATAAAATCGTCCTAAATAAAAAGTTAATCTATATAAGATTTCCATTTTTGCACATTAATGTTAATAAATTTGATGTAAATTTAATGTGTTGTAATTTTGTTATTTTTTTTTATGAACGCAATTGTGAACGTCTGTGATTAATAAGGTCGTGTGTATACGTGCGTCCGTCGTGTGCACACAGCCTTGTTTCTATAGAATGTTAAGGTTTGTTGTAATGGAATGTTGAACATCTACAGTTGATAGATTGGGACGCGGTGTGTCTTCCTTTTCATTGACTTTTTTAACCCCTCCCCACTTTATTTTCATTCCAATTTGTATTTAATTTCCCCTAATTGGTGGACGTAAGGTTATTAATATGTAAGGACTATGTTCAATAGCCTGAGTTGACTAGATCAAATAAAATCAGGTAAATGACGCCCATTGCCATATTTATATTATTTTTATTGTTGATGTATAATTGTTTATAAAACCTCGCAGTTAGGGCGCGGCTGCCAACCCCAATGTTAATTACTGGCGATCGTGTTACGTTGGTCTCTAATTTGTCTATATATATACAGAGACTTGCACCAACCAACTAATATGTATGCACAAACTGAACACAAAAGCTAGAAAAAAAATATTTGTAGTAATAATCAAATATAAAGAATTCAATATCCATAAATGAAAATATATACCCAAAAACTATGCATTGAAATTTCAATGGGAAAAGGAGAAAATATGCAAAAATAATCGTGTTAAACAACTAGTACTAATTAAGTGATCTTTTTGCATGTACTCTTTTATTTTTAATAGTTCTATGTTCAGATTGTGTATATATAAACAATAGAGATTTAAGCGGCCAGTAATTTCTTATAATTGAAAATCGAATTTATTTTTTATATAGTATTTGTGAGTGTTCGAATCAATCGATTATATATACGTAATTGTTCCTACTATGTAGATATTCTGGTACCATAGGTATCATCTCAATTATTAACAACAGAAAAACAAAAGTGTACACACAATAGTGTATCGAGAATCTCAATATATTAACCAATGAGGGTTAACAAGCCGTGCCCGCCGAATCATGTGATTATTTGTAACAAAACAATTAATATTAAGCTTAGATTAAGTCATTATTTTAATATAATTCATTTAATGTTCTATTATTATATTGATTAAATAAAAACATTGATACACTAATGTACTCGTTTTATTATTTAACAGTAATTTAAGAATGTTACATGTTGTACTTATGTACAGCAAGCTGGGAACAGGTGAAGGTGGTTAAATTAAAAAAAATAGCTATTTGAATCGGAGAGAATTACTTTTTATATATATGTTTGCGAGAGTGCTACACGTCAACAGACCTTCGGTACCGCCGCTGACTCTCTAAAATACGACACAAAGTTCTTAACCATCTTAGAAGTTTTCGATCGAGTGGAAATAATTAACGGTATAAGCTTCTGGGTAGAGTACAATTAATTAACTTTGTGGCGAAATAATATCGACATTTGTATCACCACGGCTATAAAACGCTACATCCTACAATTGAGAAAACCAACCGTCTTTTACCAGTCTATCATCTCTAAGCTGGATTTCTCTGGGACAAAATATGATCACGACTGATGTAGACGAGGTAATCAGAGTAGATTCATCAATTGCGATTGATGAATGTAACACTCATTTGCCCATTTCATCAGATTCGAACTTATGAACTTTGCGTTTGCAAAATACGACGCTTAACGTGTGACGTAGTAAAAAAAACGTGATAAAAAATATTGTCATTTTTATTGCAACAAATTTCATTCCTCTAAGAAACAAATATATCTACAGAACATAATATACAAAAACAGTTACTCAACAATTTAGAATAATTTGGCAATTGGCAAGACAAGGCACATTTTATGTGAAAAACAGCGATGTCACTTTGTATAATTATAGCTCTTCATAGAAATACGTATAAAATATATAATACTTTATAAACAAAATTATAACAAATTTGCGAACATACAGTCTCAACAATGTTATTTACTAAATAGTTGATTTTAAAGTTATATACAAAAAGGCGTATTTGTTTCAAAGCTCCACGAGTCACACTGACAGTATTGTAGTTGCCTACTTAATTAAAATTTTAATCTAGACTTAGTCTGCTTTTAGGAAGTATATCTCTCTCTCAAATTATCTAAACCTTTAAATATTGTCAATTTATGTTAATTAAAAAAAATACTATGGCAGTAGCATCCTATAACGTAGCACCTATTTAATAAGGCAATTAAAAATAAATTCGATTAGATAACAATATTTAAAATTCTAATTTATGATATGTAAATAAAATATATGAATAATTACGTAATTACAATCTACATTACGCATTTTTTTAAATACTTTTCGATTATATTTCTATGACTACATTATTTGTTCTTGGCTTTCGGACGGCGTTTTAGTGTTGTGACAACATGTGACTTGAGGACTATCCTCTCTCTCTTGTGATTCTCTTGTTTCATTCCCGATAGACTCTTCATCTGGCTCGTGGACGACTACATCTTGCGTAGACTTACAACAGGTTACCTCGGGTGGTGGTTCCTGTTTCTTCTTGCAGCAACCCTGGCGTTCTGTTCGTAGCAATTGAACGTCTTCTACACTCGGGGTATCTTCCTTCTCGCTCTCCGCGTGATGGCAGTGGGACGTACCGGGCGTGGCTTGCATTTTTTTCGCTCTGGCAACTCTGGATGGACAGGCAGCGGCGCCGTAGTAGCAAGTTGGTTGCTCGCTTGAGCTCGACGGGAAATAGTGTGAGGGCTGAATACACGTGCGAGTCTGACAGATGAACATATCCGTCTCCGAGCCAGATTCAAGGTGCGGTGGGGTAGTGTTGTCAGCTGTAAATAAAATAAAATATTTAATGTTTGGGCCAATTTTATTTCATTCCGTTACATTACAAACATGTTTTAATAACATCATTATGCAATAGATTTTAAAAAGTGTGACTGTATAATTATTAATAAACTATTACATGGCAAGACATATATATTCTTTTACTTTTAAATACATTTCAGAAACTTTGTTAGCAAAGGACTTATCTCTAAAAGAGATTTCTTCCCGTCAACCTAAAATTTCGTGACACAGGAAGTGGTATGTGGGTCACAGAAGTGCAAATAAAATATATACATTAAAGAAATACTACTGATATTAATCAACAGACTATAAATATCGTTACATTATATAATACAGTTCAATCACCTGCACTTATCTAATTGGCTTATCTCATGTTTACAGATACATACATCATAGATGTGGAAAACATTAGATTAGATCCATATTTGCCATTTATTTATACTAGCTACGCTTCGCACGGGTTTATATTATACATATAAACCTTCCTGAAACACTCCATCTACTGCATTAAAATCCGTTGTATAGTTTAAAAGATCCAAGCGAACCTTCAGCGGAAGCGACCTCATTTTGTACTAAAAATATTAGCAAGGCATCAATAATTTTTTGAGGCAGGCTGCCTTAGACGTGCGAGGAAGTGTGCCAGCTACCTCTAGACCAGCGAGGCAGTGGTATACAAATAAAAAAAAATGGACTTTTTTTTAGTATACTGAATACAACTACGCGACTCTACTGAAATAAGTCATATAAGTACTTCATGTCTCTACAGGGCGGGATGGTAAGGTTCCGAGGTGAGCGTGGTATCTGCTTGTTGCAACTCCATAGCGTCCATCTCCTTGCAGAGTTTCCCCTCGCACGACTCCCATGTACATTTTTCCGTGTTGCACCGGTCTTTTGGAAGTCCGAGGGGAGGAGTACGTTAGTAACTAAAGATAGTTTATGCATCCGGAATCTCTCGTCTCGAAAATATAGATAGACTATATATACCATATGTAATAAAGGCATTTAAATATGGGATTTTATGTGTTTTTCTCTTGTTTCGACAACTTAAACTGTCATTATAAACATTATCAAATAAAAAATCAATACATTTTAAACGCTTATGAATGTCAACATTTTGTATTCTTTTTTTCCCTACTGTAATGTACAAACTCATAAAATACAGGTTATAAAAATTCTTTCATTAAAGTCGCTTACTTTATAAGCGAGTGTATAGCATAGGTATATTTCATATGGACCCGACCGCAGATTTTTGTTTGTAATCAAATCTAATCAAAAACAATTGAACGTCCCTCCGCCGCAGAGTGACGGGCTGGGAGGGGGGATTTTTATCCACTAAAAAAACACCTACAAGCGCCATTGCCGGTGTCACGAGATAGCGTTAGAATAACTACAGCAGCTCTGGTGGCACGCCTCAACCCTAGATCCGAGCAAAAAAAAAGTTGATTGAACACGAAGCTACGGATGTATACCATTCGGTGGCATTGGCGACAAAACGGCTTGGCCGTCTTTTATTAAAAAAAAAAGTTTTTAATACCAGTGTCATCGCATTCCGGCGTACATATGACGACGCGTTTTGTCCTGAAGCACTGCATCTGCAGCCGCGTCAACTTGGTCCCGAATAAGAAATAGCCTAAAATAAAAAAAAAACAATATTATTTAAAGAATATTCTACTTGACTTTACACTCGTTACTCTTTAAAATCTAACATTTTATTTATAGCTCTATACAAGGTGTCTTGTATTCAATAAGAAAAAAAAATCCAAAGATATATTTTCTTTAAGCGATAAGGTCGACATTTTGTTAGGCACGTTTATGTAAGGATCTTTTTTTTTTGTAAATTTCTAATATCAAATCATTTATCGCTGAATACAGTGCTTATAGGTGTATATAATAGTAAATATAATGTCCAGTATATTCAGCCTGCATACAGGCGCGCAGATTTTTATATATTTGTCATTCTGATTAGTCAATAATTAAATTAAAATAAACATGTCATTGGAATTATTGGCATATATAATTACTATAGATTATGCTTTAAATTACTAAATTCAATAAATTCTTTGACACACAAATATTAAATTAGTAGTAATTAGTATTGCATGTTTTGAAAAAGTCGCACACAAGTGAGTCACAAAAAAATATTTCGGTTTAATATGTACTACAATTTTATAACAATATATTGTCAGGAGAAACAATAAATTTAATTATAGAAATGCTTGGCGCATAAACATGTTTAACGGGTCGTGTGTTGCTCATCCCTGATCTATACAATAGATAGATCGATATTTTTTTTTTTTATATGTATCTTGATCTCAATACTGACCGAGCATCATTCCGAAGACGACGGCGAGCAGCAAGTGAACGTTGTACAACATTACCGCCAGCATCAGCAGGTAGCCGACCACGTTGTGTGCCAGGAACACCAGGGACTGATGAGAGTTCACCAGGGTCCTGAGTACAGAATAATATAATTATTTATAACCGCGGAAGTTTGTGAGTGTGGATAGATGGATATTTGTTGCACTTCCACGCAACAACTCATCATTATCTGCTCTTCCTTATCCCATTTATTTGGGGTTGTTTTTCTCTTCCCTGTTCGCAGTCATCTCGTTATTTACTCCCTTTCTTACCATATCATCTTTCACAGCCCATCCATCTGGGGGGAAAGGGATTGTTAGTAATGTGGATTGATAACCCCATTGCTAGCAATGTAACATGTTAGGTCGACCTCCACGTGGTTCCCCCTGGAAACCATCGTGTTAAATTCCTGGTGAATTTGTCACGATGGGCTAACTGACCTGACCTCATGCTCATCTTATCATCCTCCACTGGTGCCCCGCCAGCGTAAACCGTTAGCGCAGGCGAGTGCACCATTCCATTATCATCCACAAAAAAAAAAAGCCCATCCATCTCTTTTTCGGCCTTCCTCTGCCCTTATAATCATCCACATTCAGGTGTAATACCTTCCATGCATCTACTACTAGATAGATTTTAATGAAACTTTACAATAATTCAATTCAATCTATTTACTGGAACATGTATATAATGGTCTAAAGATTATAATAGTTCCAAACATGCCGTTTCCGGCGTGTAAAAAATTACAATAATATTTATTTAATAATAATGTAATATTAATATTATTGTCATTTAAATAATCATTTGTGGAATAACAACATTTATTTAATAATTCTTTAAATAATTTAATATTTAATTTAGTATCTCTGTATTTTTTCCTTATAAAACCCTCAATACCTCTCACTCATCAGGCACATCAGATACCTCCGCTTCAGCTATAAATTACTAGACAACTGTATAAATACTTAGATTTTTTTATAAATACATACAAATATAGATATATACATAATATAGATAGAAAACACCCAGATCGATACAAACAACTATACATATGAACATAAATGTTTGCACCGTACGAGGAATCGAACCCGCGACCATTGGAAGTAACTAGTGTGTTATACCGCTAAACTACCGTGGCTGTCAGATAGACCATATCCATCTATAGGCGAACTGACCTGACCCTGAACGATGCCCAGCGGCTGACCTGGCCGGTGCTGGCGTTGCGACTCGTCGTAGGCTCCATGAGGTTGCCCTGCTCCCTGATAAAATAAACATTATGACATCAATTATCAACATAGGTAGGAAAGGATTGTTATTAATGTTGACTGATGACTCCAATGTACCATGTCAGTTTGACCTCCACGTGGTTACCCCTGAAAATCATCATTTGGATGGTGAATTTGAAATTGGTGAAACCTGGTAAATTTGTCAGTTAATCTTAATAATTGTTAAAACTTGGTAATTTAAATTAATTATGGTCGAGTTTTGTCCATTTTTTTATACTTTCCCGGATATAAACTTGCAGGCTTTTTACATTTATTATTTTCCTACAAGTTATATATATATATATTTATCTCAGGACAATTCACACAGCGCCATCTAGTCCCAAGCTAAGCAGAGCTTGTGTTATGGATACTAGACAACTGATATAAATACATGGATACATATTTTTTTGTAAATAAATACATATTATACATAGAAAACACCCAGACCGATACAAACAATCATACTCATGAATACAAATGTTTGTACCGTGCGAGGAATCGAACCCACGGCCATCGGATAGTAAAGCGATGTGCCACTAGACCACCGAGGTTGTCAAGTTAATTACTATAATGTTTACACTATTTTGACCATTGGGCGACCATTAGTAATAATAATATGATACATTTTTATTGCGCATGGAAGATTACTTCCCATAAATGTGCTAAAGAGAAAGCGGCCTTATCGCTTAAAGCAATTTATTATATATATATATATATATATATATATATATATATATATATATATATATATAAATATCCCCTTGGGCACTTTGTGGCTCAGACGTGCCGTATAGGTAGTTTTTTGTTGATCCTTTTTCACTTGTTGATCCGGAGGCCTTTTGTTGATCTAATGCCAGATGACCATATATAAATGTTGATCCGTTTTGAGCCACAACTGTCACGACGAGTAATAATAATAATTAAGCGATTTATACACGATTTTATACAAATCCACCTTTTTGGCATACGAGCAGTTCTTGATCCAATTCAAACGGGCCAATCAGGGTGCAGCATTTGCCAAGGGCTTCCTCATTGGCACGTTTGGGCTACTACATTATGGCTACAGTAACTTAATAATGTCTAGCTAGTATTTCAAAAATAATAGTCTACCTAATCTAAATATTTATAGAAATCAGTCTGGAGTAACGTGACTCCAGATCAAACCTCAATACTTGTTATTTTTTGGATGGGAATCTTTTCTTTTGTAACAACGTTACTGAGCGAATAAAGAGAAGACGCAACGGCGGATCCAGGGGGGAGCGTCATGGAGGTCATGGGAGTCATGGGGGTGTCATGACTCTCCCCCCCCCCTTAGCCCAGAACTTAGGTAGACCACTAATTGAACTAAAAAATAATGAAACAGCAAATTTTTTTGCACGATCGGAGTGTTGGTGCAGTAGTATTAATTATAATTAAACATTGTTACTTAAAACATAACAGTTAAAGTACTATAACACTAAAAGCAAAATAGGTATTTTCAAAATACTTTTTCAAAATAAATTACCCTTTGAGTTTTTGTTCAAACCTCAGATATTATATTTATTTTAGGTATATCAATCAATACATAGTATAGCATAGTACAGTCTGTCTGTCTGTCTGTTTGTTCCGGCTAATCTCTGAAATAGCTGGACCGATTTTGACGGGACTTTTTTGGCAAGTAGCTGATGTAATAAGGAGTAACTTACGCTACTGTTATTTTAGAAAAATAAAATAAAATTTCACGCGGACGAAGTCGCTGGGGCCAGCTAGTCTATAGATATACCGAGATTTAATGTTTAAGTTGCTATTATGTTATTGACAAAATTTTACTGTAATGTTACTATTACGTTATCCTACACAATTTGTATTATTTTGGATGAATAAATAAATAAATAAATAAATAATAATCTATACATCTATACATTTAATAAAAATTGGAGTGTCTGTTTGTAATATTGAAAAAACCGTTTTGTTTACCATGTAGTAAATGCATATGAATATATATAAGGTACATATACCAAAATAACTATTTTTATAATTTTAGTCTGTCTGTCTGTCTGTCTGTTTGTTCCGGCTAATCTCTGAAATGGCTGGACCGATTTTGACGGTACTTTTTTTTGGCAGGTAGCTGATTTATAAGGAGTAACTTAGGTTACTTTTATTTTAGAAAAATAAAGTTAAATTCCACGCGGACGAAGTCGCGGGAACACCTTGTTTTTAATAAAAACATCTTTTTTATGGTACTTGAGAATGTTGAAGCCTGTTGTTTGTAATATTGAAATAACCGTTTTTTACTACTTGCATATGAATATAAATACGGTACATACACCAAAATAACATATTTTACAATTTTTGTCTGTCTGTCTGTTTGTTCCGGCTAATCTCTGAAATGGCTGGACCGATTTTGACGGGACTTTTTTTGGCAGGTAGCTGATGTAATAAGGAGTAACTTAGGCTACTTTTATTTTAGAAAAATAAAGTTAAAAACCACGTGGACGAAGTCGCGGGAACAGCTAGTGTATAATATATTAGAGATACCTACGTGTTTTTTTATTGACGATTAGCTGTACACGGGATTTCGTCCGTGTTGAATTTAACTTTATTTTTCTAAAATATAAGAAGTTAAATTCCACGCGGACGAAGTCGCGTGTACAGCTAGTTGTCGGTAGTCTAGCGATTTATCTAGCACACCGCTTTGATTCCTGCTTGGTGGTCGAGGGTTCGATTCCTCGCACGCTGCAAACATTTGTATTCATGAGTATGATTGTTTGTAACGGTCTGGGTGTTTTCTATGTATAGATAATATATATGTATTTACGAAAAAAAACTTTGTATTTATATCAGTTGTCTAGTACCCATAACATAATCTTCAGCTAGCTTAACTTGGGTCTAGATGAAGCTGTGTGAATTGTCCTGAGATTACTATTATTACTATAATAAATCTTTTCAAATCAGCCGATGTTTATTTTTGCCATAATACGTGCTGTTACCATGTGATAATATTACGTACGTACTTATTACTGTTTTAAATGTGATGCGTTCATTATTTATATTTCCTTTGAATTAAAGACAAATGTAAGTATATATATATATACTTACATTTGCACACTTAGTTGATCCAGCCACGATCCGTAGATATTGCTGATTCCACTGTCTCTCTCTTTCTACCACTATAACGGTAGCGTGGCGGAACGGCAACATGTTGCCGTTCCGCGTTCTACCACTATCTTTGTATTCTAATATGCGATGTTGCCGTTCCGACCGAGACCATGCGTTGTTGCCAAATGTATTCGTCGATAGTAGTAGATACCTATACTCGATATATATTTTTTCAACAATTTCCTGCAATAGTGAATCCGTATCGGCATTTTTTTTAAATGCACAAAGATTTTTTGGCTCTGAATATATTTAAAAATCATTTACTTGTGTGTTGATGAATTTATATACTAGTACATGAAGTACCTAATACTTGTTTTGATTTGAATAGGTAGCGATATTATTATGAATTTATTATACGTAATCTAAAGATTTTGACGAAATAAAAGTAATTAGTTATCTGTTAACCTTGACTTCATGCTGGCACCAGTATTATCAGATGATGAACATACTCTTCGAAAACTTACAGCAGAAATATCGTGTTTGGACTCATTAGATAGGTCTCGATGAATAGAGTTTAAAAAACTTAAAATAAATGGTACATTAGAAATAATGTATAAAAACCCCTTACGTAAAATTCAACCACTTTAAACTTAATAATAATAATAATTAGGAAAAGAGAAAAGCTATACATGCACTGAAAGTAATTGATGCCTTCCACACAATATTTTCAGTATTAAACAACTCTGTTTGTTCAGTAAAAGTGTAAATACACTGGTAACCTTTAATCATATTTTATATGCAAACATTACATATACAAACACTAAAGTTTTATTTCAGAATAGCCAGTAGTTTTCAAGAAATAAGTCTTTGAAATTGTACGTGTAACTTATATATATACCTACTAGTTTTTTCACAATAACAAACAACACCAATATGGCCTAGTTAGTAGTTTACCTGTGTACCAATTAATAATAATAGTAATCTCAGGACAATTCATACAGCTTCATCTAGACCCAAGTTAAGCTAGCTGAAGATTATGTTATGGGTACTGATATAAATACAAAGATTTTTTTCGTAAATACATACATATTATCTATACATAGAAAACACCCAGACCGTTACAAACAATTTAATAATAAGTTAATAGTTTAATAAGTACGTACGTAATATTATCACATGGTAACAGCACGTATTATGGCAAAAATAAACATCGGCTGATTTGAAAAGATTTATTATAGTAATAATAATCTCAGGACAATTCACACAGCTTCATCTAGACCCAAGTTAAGCTAGCTGAAGATTATGTTATGGGTACTGATATAAATACAAAGATTTTTTTTCGTAAATACATATATATTATCTATACATAGAAAACACCCAGACCGTTACAAACAATCATACTCATGAATACAAATGTTTGCAGCGTGCGAGGAATCGAACCCTCGACCACCAAGCAGGAATCAAAGCAGTGTGCTAGCTAAATCGCTAGACTACCGACAACTAGCTGTACACCCGACTTCGTCCGCGTGGAATTTAACTTCTTATATTTTAGAAAAATAAAGTTAAATTCAACACGGACGAAATCCCGTGTACAGCTAGTCATCAATAAAAAAACACGTAGGTATCTCTAATATATTATACACTAGCTGTTCCCGCGACTTCGTCCACGTGGTTTTTAACTTTATTTTTCTAAAATAAAAGTAGCCTAAGTTACTCCTTATTACATCAGCTACCTGCCGAAAAAAGTCCCGTCAAAATCGGTCCAGCCATTTCAGAGATTAGCCGGAACAAACAGACAGACAGACAAAAATTGTAAAATATTTTATTTTGGTGTATGTACCGTATTTATATTCATATGCATGTAGTAAAAAACGGTTTTTTCTATATTACAAACAGACACTCCAATTTTTATTAAA